GATTTGTTGAGTTTTTCATACAAAAAGATCGATTTTGGGTCAGAAATATGAGATCACAAATCGAGCTTATTTTGCCATCTAAACGCATATTTACTGAGTTATGAACGATTTAAGATTTTTTGGGTTTTTCATTCAAAAAATCGATTTTGGGTCAGAAATATGAGCTCACAAATCGAGCTTATTTTGCTATTTAAACGCATATTTATAGTGTTATCGGCTATTTTAGATTTTTTGAGTTTTTCATACAAAAAAATCGATTTTTCATCAGTAATATGAGTGATCACAAATCGAGCTTATTTTGCCATTTAAACTCATATTTACTGAGTTATTAACGATTTAAGATTCTTTGAGTTTTTCGTACAAAAAAAAATCGATTTTTGGTCTGAAATATGAGTGATCACAAATCGAGCTTATTTAGCCATTTAAACGCATATTTACTGAGTTATTAACGATTTAAGATTTTTTAAGTTTTTCATACAAAAAATCGATTTTTGGTCAGATATATTAGTGATCACAAATCGAGCTTATTTTGTCATTTAAATGTATATTTACTGAGTTGTTAACGATTTAAGATTTGTTGAGTTTTTCATACAAAAAGATCGATTTTGGGTCAGAAATATGAGATCACAAATCGAGCTTATTTTGCCATCTAAACGTATATTTACTGAGTTATCGGCGATTTTAGATTTTTTGAGTTTTTCATACAAAAATCAATTTTTGGTCAGAAATATGAGTGATCACAAATCGAGCTTATTTAGCCATTTAAACGCATGTTTACTGAGTTATTAACGATTTAAGATTTTTAGAGTTTTTCATATGAAAATTCGATTTTTGATCTGAAATATGAGTGATCACAAATCGAGCTTAATTTGCCATTTAAACGCATATTTAACGATTTTAGATTTTTTGATTTTTTTATACAAAAAAATGGATTTTTGGTCAGAAATATGAGGGATCACAAATCGAGCTTATTTTGCCATTTAAAAGCATATTTACTGAGTTATTTACGATTTAAGATTTTTTGAGTTTTTTATACAAAAATATCAATTTTTGATCAGAAATATAAGTGATCACAAATCGAGCTTATTTTACCATTTAAACGCATATTTACTGAGTTATTAACGATCTAAGATTTTTTGAGTTTTTCATACAAAAAATCGATGTTTGGTGTGAAGTATGAGTGATCGAGCTTATTTTTCCATTTAAACGCATATTTACTGAGTTATTAACGATTTCAGATTTTTTGGGATTTTCATACAAAAAACACATTTTTGGTCAGAAATATGAGTGATCACAAATCGAGCTTATTTTGTCATTTAAACGCATATTTACTGAGTTAATAACGATTTAAGATTTTTTGAGTTTTCATTCAAAAAAATCGATTTTTGGTCTGAAATATGAGTGATCACAAATCGAGTTTATTTTTCCATTTATACGCAAATTTACTGAGTTATCGACGATTTAAGATTTATTGGGTTTTTCATACAAAAAATCGATGTTTGGTGTGAAGTATGAGTGATCACAAATCGAGCTTATTTTTCCATTTAAACGCATATTTACTGAGTTATGAACGATTTAAGATTTTTTGGGTTTTTCATTAAAAAAATCGATTTTGGGCTATTTAGATATTTAGCATTTTAACGCATATTTATTGAGTTATTACCGATTTTAGATTTTTTTAGTTTTTCATATGAAAAATAAATTTTTGGTCAGAAATATGAGTGATCACAAATCAAGCTTATTTTGCCATTTAAACGCATATTTACTGAGTTATTAATGATTTAAGATTTTTTGAGTTTTTTTATAAAAAAAAATCGATTTTTGGTCTGAAATATGAATGATCACAAATCGAGCTTACTTTTCCATTTAAAAGCATATTTACTGAGTTATTAACGATTTTAGATTTTTTGAGTTTTTCATACAAAAAAAATGGATTTTTGGTCAGAAATATGAGGGATCACAAATCGAGCTTATTTTGCCATTTAAACGCATATTTACTGAGTTATTTACGATTTAAGATTTTTTGAGTTTTTATACAAAAATATCAATTTTTGATCAGAAATATAAGTGATCAAAAATCGAGGTTATTTTGCAATTTAAACGTATATTTACTGAGTTATTACCGATTTAAGATTTGTTAAGTTTTTCATACAAAAAAATCGATTTTGGGTCAGAAATATGAGATCACAAATCGAGCTTATTTTGCAATTTAAACGCATATTTACTGAGTTATCGGCGATTTAAGATTTTTTGAGTTTTTCATACAAAAAATCAATTTTTGGTCAGAAATATGAGTGATCACAAATCGAGCTTATTTAGTCATGTAAACGCATATTTACTGAGTTATTAACGATTTAAGATTTTTTAAGTTTTTCATACAAAAAATCGATTTTTGGTCAGAAATATTAGTGATCACAAATCGAGCTTATTTTGTCATTTAAACGTATATTTACTGAGTTATTAACGATTTAAGATTGTTGAGTTTTTCATACAAAAAGATCGATTTTGGGTCAGAAATATGAGATCACAAATCGAGCTTATTTTGCCATCTAAACGTATATTTACTGAGTTATCGGCGATTTTAGATTTTTTGAGTTTTTCATACAAAAATCAATTTTTGGTCAGAAATATGAGTGATCACAAATCGAGCTTATTTAGTCATGTAAACGCATATTTACTGAGTTATTAACGATTTAAGATTTTTTAAGTTTTTCATACAAAAAATCGATTTTTGGTCAGAAATATTAGTGATCACAAATCGAGCTTATTTTGTCATTTAAACGTATATTTACTGAGTTATTAACGATTTAAGATTTGTTGAGTTTTTCATACAAAAAGATCGATTTTGGGTCAGAAATATGAGATCACAAATCGAGCTTATTTAACCATTTAAACGCATGTTTACTGAGTTATTAACGATTTAAGATTTTTAGAGTTTTTCATATGAAAATTCGATTTTTGATCTGAAATATGAGTGATCACAAATCGAGCTTAATTTGCCATTTAAACGCATATTTAACGATTTTAGATTTTTTGAGTTTTTTATACAAAAAAATGGATTTTTGGTCAGAAATATGAGGGATCACAAATCGAGCTTATTTTGCCATTTAAACGCATATTTACTGAATTATTAACGATTTAAGATTTTTTGAGTTTTTTATACAAAAATATCAATTTTTGATCAGAAATATAAGTGATCACAAATCGAGCTTATTTTGCCATTTAAACGCATATTTACTGAGTTATTAACGATCTTAGATTTTTTGAGTTTTTCATACAAAAAATCGATATTTGGTGTGAAGTATGAGTGATCACAAATCGAGCTTATTTTTCCATTTAAACGCATATTTACTGAGTTATTAACGATTTAAGATTTTTTGGGATTTTCATACAAAAAACACATTTTTGGTCAGAAATATGAGTGATCACAAATCGAGCTTATTTTGTCATTTAAACGCATATTTACTGAGTTAATAACGATTTAAGATTTTTTGAGTTTTCATTCAAAAAAATCGATTTTTGGTCTGAAATATGAGTGATCACAAATCGAGTTTATTTTTCCATTTATACGCAAATTTACTGAGTTATCGACGATTTAAGATTTATTGGGTTTTTCATACAAAAAATGGATTTTTGTTCAGAAATATGAGGGATCACAAATCGAGCTTATTTTGCCATTTAAACGCATATTTACTGAATTATTAACGATTTAAGATTTTTTGAGTTTTTTATACAAAAATATCAATTTTTGATCAGAAATATAAGTGATCACAAATCGAGCTTATTTTGCCATTTAAACGCATATTTACTGAGTTATTAACGATTTAAGATTTTTTGGGATTTTCATACAAAAAACACATTTTTGGTCAGAAATATGAGTGATCACAAATCGAGCTTATTTAGCCATTTAAACGCATATTTACTGAGTTATGAACGATTTAAGATTTTTTGGGTTTTTCATTAAAAAAATCGATTTTGGGCTATTTAGATATTTAGCATTTTAACGCATATTTATTGAGTTATTACCGATTTTAGATTTTTTTAGTTTTTCATATGAAAAATCAATTTTTGGTCAGAAATATGAGTGATCACAAATCAAGCTTATTTTGCCATTTAAACGCATATTTACTGAGTTATTAATGATTTAAGATTTTTTGAGTTTTTTTATAAAAAAAAATCTATTTTTGGTCTGAAATATGAATGATCACAAATCGAGCTTACTTTTCCATTTAAAAGCATATTTACTGAGTTATTAACGATTTTAGATTTATTGAGTTTTTCATTCAAAAAATCGATTTTTGGTCAGAAGTATGAGTGATCATAAATCGAGCTTATTTAGCCATTTAAACGCAGATTTATTGGGTTATTAACGATTTAAGATTTTTTCGATTTTTGGTAAGAAATATGAGTGATCACAAATCGAGCTTATTTTTCCATTTAAACGCATATTTACTGAGTTATTAACGATTTAAGATTTTTTGAGTTTTTCATACAAAAAGATCGATTTTGGTTAAAAGTATGAGTGATCACAAATCAAGCTTGTTTTGCCATTTAAACGCGTATTTACTGAGTTATTAACGATTTAAGATTCTTTGGGTTTTTCATATGAAAAATCGATTTTTCATCAGAAATATGAGTGATCACTAATCGAGCTTACTTTGCCATTTAAATGCATATCTAAAGAGTTATTAATGAGAGGTTGAGATTTAGATTTTTTTTTTGGATTTTTAAGATTTCTTGGGATTAACCTTAATGTTTGAAGAAAACGACATATTTATGTTTTTAATATTTTGTATTCATTTATTTTTTTTTTAATATTTGCCATAATAATCATCATTTTGTATAATTATTTTTTTATTTAAATTTATTAAATGTATATGTATATGAATAATTTTTTTAAAATTAATATAATTTTATATAAATTAAAGATAATTAAAATTAAAATAAAGTTTTTTTCTCTTAACACTTAAATGAATAATAACAATTAAACAAAAAAAAACTGAAACGAAAAATGAAATGCCATATTTAAAAGAAAACAAAATATTTTTTTTTTTGTTGTAAAATTTTCGCTAATTAATTTTAAAATTTTAGCATATAGAATATAAGTATAAATTGTATAATTTTTCTACTAATACTTTGAGTATTTTGAAATGATATCAAAGTAGAAAAGTTAAATATTTTTGTATTTTTTTAATTCTTTAATTTAGTTCTCTCTGCGATAGTTAGATGATAGATGATAAGCTAGATGTGTATGAAGTGTTAAGCATGAATTTGAAATGTTATAGGCTTCAGTTACAAAACACTAGGAGAGAGTAATACATAAATAGTTAGATAGAAAGAGAGAGAGAGAGAGTCTAAGAAATATATTGCCATAAGATTATTATTTGTTTTTAATTATAATTGTTTATGTAAGTGTTTATGTACTTTAAATAATTGCCACTACAATATTGATTGATATTGATTATTGAGACTACTTGAAGCTTTAAAAATATGCAGTTGTTTTTATTATCTTAATTAATTCGAATTTTTATTATTTTTTATTGCAGGCTCTTGTTTATTCTCACGTATAATGCTTAGTAATTGCAACATCATCAATGCTTGCACTTTATCCAAAGGATCCATAAAACCGCGTTGCAACCATTTCGGTATGGTAGTGCGGGCATGACTAAAGCCCAATTTATTGAGTATATAATCGATGCCATAGGGTTCTATGGATTTGCCAGCCCAATAAAGAATTCTTACAGTCGGCTCTAAATGCCAAGTTTGACATTCAAAATGTCTCCAATCTCTAAAGAAGGATTCTAAATCATTATCGTCTTCGGCCGGATTATTTGCAGACGCTGTGGCTCCTTGATTATTAGAGGCAGGTTTGCTGTCATTAGCACTAGCATTGTTTGCTGTGATATTTGTATTGCTGTTATTTTGTGAATTGATGTTAATGTTAGATGATGTTTTCGAGGAAGAGTCTTTGGTATCGTTGTTTAGATTATGATTACTATTAGTCAAGTGTGTGGATGATGTTGTCATGTTTGCTGTTAGTTGATTAACATCCAAATTTTGTGAGCTGGCATGTTTCGATGAGAGAGTATTCGAAGCTGACGAAGTGGTAGATGATTGTTGTTGTTGCTGCTGCTGCTGCATGTGTTGTTCTTTTGTCATTTCTTCACTAACATAAGGTTTCAGCTGATGTCTTATATTTTGTGATAAATTGGGTGAGGCAGCTCGTGCTGATTGGGCTCCAACCTAGTTTTGTGAAAAAATAAAACAAAAACATTTGTTTAGTTAATTTCATAACTTGCAATTTTTAAACTTACCACCTTTTCTTTTTCCTTGACGTAGGATGTTATTAAATCATGCAAAAAGAAGAAAGCATCTGCATCCACTGTAACAAATATGTGATCATCAAATTCTGTAGTAAAACTACAGACAACTTCGGGTTTAGTATCTGCTTTAAAACAATGAGAAACATTGAAATTTATAACATGTTTTTTAAGGATAATTTTAATTGCCTATTACCTGTTTGCAGAGGTGTGGTTGGGCCTTGCTTGTGTTCCGTTTTAAAATGTAAATGCAGACTGGGTAAAGCAAAGATTACCTCACGATCTTGAGATTTGCTGGAACTAGTAGAACTTGCTCCTCTGGCTCGTTCTATTGAATTTGAAGCAATCTCTCTATCACATTCCAAAATGGGGAAACGGTCAACAGCTGTAATAAAAAATATAAATTGATTAGAAACGATCGAACAAACTGAACTGAACTGAACTAGAACTGAACTAGAACTGAACTAGAAGAACTAGAACTGAACTAGAACTGAACTAGAACTGACTAGAACTGAACTAGAACTGAACTAGAACTGAACTAGACTGAACTAGAACTGAACTAGAACTGAACTAGAACTGAACTAGAACTGAAACTAGAACTGAACTAGAACTGACTAGAACTGAACTAGAACTGAACTAGAACTGAACTAGAACTGAACTAGAACTGAACTAGAACTGAACTAGAACTGAACTAGAACTGAACTAGAACTGAACTAGACTAACTAGAACTGAACTAGAACTGAACTAGAACTGAACTAGAACTACAGAACCTGAACTAGAACTGAAACTAGAAACTGAAACTAGAACTGAACTAGAACTGAACTAGAACTGAACTAGAACTGAACTAGAACTGAACTAGGAACTGAACTAGAACTGAACTAGAACTGAACTAGAACTGAACTAGAACCTGAACTAGAAACTTGAAAACTGAACTAGAACTGAACTAGAACTGAACTAGAACTGAACTAGAACTGAACTAGAACTGAACTAGAACTGAACTAGAACTGAACTAGAACTGAACTAGAACTGAACTAGAACTGAACTAGAACTGAACTAGAACTGAACTAGAACTGAACTAGAACTGAACTAGAACTGAACTAGAACTGAACTAGAACTGAACTAGAACTGAACTAGAACTGAACTAGAACTGAACTAGAACTGAACTAGAACTGAACTAGAACTGAACTAGAACTGAACTAGAACTGAACTAGAACTGAACTAGAACTGAACTAGAACTGAACTAGAACTGAACTAGAACTGAACTAGAACTGAACTAGAACTGAACTAGAACTGAACTAGAACTGAACTAGAACTGAACTAGAACTGAACTAGAACTGAACTAGAACTGAACTAGAACTGAACTAGAACTGAACTAGAACTGAACTAGAACTGAACTAGAACTGAACTAGAACTGAACTAGAACTGAACTAGAACTGAACTAGAACTGAACTAGAACTGAACTAGAACTGAACTAGAACTGAACTAGAACTGAACTAGAACTGAACTAGAACTGAACTAGAACTGAACTAGAACTGAACTAGAACTGAACTAGAACTGAACTAGAACTGAACTAGAACTGAACTAGAACTGAACTAGAACTGAACTAGAACTGAACTAGAACTGAACTAGAACTGAACTAGAACTGAACTAGAACTGAACTAGAACTGAACTAGAACTGAACTAGAACTGAACTAGAACTGAACTAGAACTGAACTAGAAGAACTAGAACTGAACTAGAACTGAACTAGAACTGAACTAGAACTGAACTAGAACTGAACTAGAACTGAACTAGAACTGAACTAGAACTGAACTAGAACTGAACTAGAACTGAACTAGAACTGAACTAGAACTGAACTAGAACTGAACTAGAACTGAACTAGAACTGAACCAGAACTGAACTAGAACTGAACTAGAACTGAACTAGAACTGAACTAGAACTGAACTAGAACTGAACTAGAAGTGAACTAGAAGTGAACTAGAACCGAACTAGAACTGAACTAGAACTGAACTAGAACTGAACTAGAACTGAACTAGAACTGAACTAGAACTGAACTAGAACTGAACTAGAACTGAACTAGAACTGAACTAGAACTGAACTAGAACTGAACTAGAACTGAACTAGAACTGAACTAGAACTGGACTGAACTAGAACTGGACTGAACTAGAACTGAACTAGAACTGAACTAGAACTGAACTAGAACTGAACTAGAACTGAACTAGAATTGAACTAGAACTGAACTGCAAATTCATAAACATTTCCACTTTAGGCTTTTTATTAAAATCGGATCGATCGTTTAGAAATTGCAGATTACAGTTTCCTTTTGAATTGTTAATAATCGTATATTCTTTCCTAAAAATTTAAAGAAATTTTTATTAAAATGGACTGAAAACTTACCATCAATTTCACTATTCGCAAAAGCGTAATGAAACCATTCATTAAGCGTCTTAAATTGTGGAGGAAACACAATATTCCTAGTTATACGACTAACAATGGCCATTGAATGATTTTGTTGCTGCACCTCCGTTGTCTGACCCAAACAAGAGGTCAGTGTTTGTGTCACAAACACTTCTCGACTATTCGAATCTTGATGAGCCTCTGTGGTAAAGTTAATGAAAGGAGATTTTAAACTGAATAAAGCCCAAGATTTGGATTTGAAGTTAATGCCGTGGAAACAAGCCAAAGAAATGTTATTGCCATGTAATTCCACAGAACCACCCAAAACATTGCCATTGCGGGGTAGACGTGTTACCAAAGTGGGTACAACCAGACCAGCTACCATTTCCAGAGGCTTCTGCCAATGTCTATGGTGTCTGGCGTCAGTGTTACTCAAATCAACACCACATGCCTCAGAGGCACCGTTAATAGATTTCTTGTGTTCCCGCCTTTGTCTACGTTTCATACTGGCATTACGTTCATGCAAGCGAGGTTCGAGGCTGGAGAAAACTCGCTTAGAAGATTTAAATTGTTGGGTGAAAAATTCCTCTAGTTTGTAGTACATTTTCAGTAGATCGGCAGTGGTGGATTTGGAAATCATAATTTGTAGCTGTAAAGGGAGAAATGTTGTGAAATTTATTTTTCTTAACAATAAAAGAAACTTACTTGATCCCATGATAAATCACCATGTATAAAAATAATGGCCTTTGGTGCGGTATTATCGTGGGGGGGTGAAATATCTCCTCCCTGCTGTTGCAGTGAAGTTTTCCATTCATCTTTCATGGCAGCTGAGAAGGAGCTAATGCGCGTCATTAACACTGAAGTGCCCATATAATCTAATCTCAATTCCAAAGCCATAAAACTTAAACCCATGGTATGATAAGGCTCTACTCCGGATTCTTCTTTAATATGGAAACGTGTATTGATTTTGTTCACTTCAAAACTACCACCCACTATGCCGCCCTTGGCATCTAGCGAGGAACCACCCAAATAGATGCCTATATACATATTTTTGTAACCAGTACTGCCTATAGACAAGCGGCCATCAGACTGAAAATCTTTCGTGAGCCACACCACATTGCCCATAACATTACCCATGTTCATTTGTACATTGAGTTTAGTGAAATTTACCGCAAAGAGTACTAATGTTTCCCAGGCTGTGATTTGATTTTTCTCCGAGGGAGGCGTACTAGAAGACTCATTACTAGATGATTTGCCCAAATTCTTAAGTTTGCGAGTAGCTCCCGTTGAGGAAGTGGGTGTAGTTTGATTATTACTATCAAAGTTTAATTTCAATTTATCTCTAGTGTAAAATGCGTCTGCTGGTGATTTGGTGGTATCAGGTGTTTTAGTTCTAGTGCCATCTTTGGGTGTGGTAGGAGTACCCAAGTTGTGTTCGGTATCATTAGACTGTTGAACACTTAAGTCGCCCAAAAATAAACGTCTTACTATTCTTCTGCGATACCAGGCCTTAGGGAAGGCTAATATTTCTGTTAGACGACGCATATCGTACTTAAACGAGGCACTGCCTATATCCACTATGGTAGAGAATCTCACTACAGCTTTAGACTGGTCCATGGGTCTTTTCGCCGAGGAAGTAGTGGAAGGTTCTATGTAAACTTTGCGACATCTAGTTATGTGGAATTTTACAAATTCCACATTGATGGATAAAGAATCTTTACGTTCCGAATCGGTTAGGGGTGAGAATTGGGCCTCCTTTATATTAGTTTTCTTGCCACCATAAGGATGGAATATGTAAACATTAAAGTCCGCCAAACAACCGGTAACACTGAGTCCACCTTGAGGAGTTTTATCTTTATCTTTTTCTCCCGTTGTCGTCGAAGTATTGGCATTATTCGGTTCCAATGGATTTTGGTTGTCCTCATCAGCAGATCTTTTAGAAGAGAACACAATATCCAAACTGGGCAATTGTAACATACATTCCACTCTGGAAACGGGTAAACAAGAAAATCTAAATGTTGAGGGCTGCATGTGAAAGTAAACAATAACATCCACTGGGAAAGAGGCATATGTCACATAGTTAGCCGGCAAAATATCCAAATTAACTGGATTATTAGAGGGCGTTTGTGAACCGCTGCTCTGTTCCGCCTTTGTGGGTATGGGTTCTAAGGTTTGCTCTAAAAATTCCAAAATATGAGGTGAAATAATGGTTTCCTCTGGTATAGATTGCAAAGTCATCCAGGCAAATAAAGCCGCACGTTTTGAACTCATTCTTCTGTTGGCTCCCGAAAAAGTAGAATGGTGACTATCTGTACTGGTGCTGCGATTCACCTCAATGATGTTCTCCACTGTCTTGGACTGATAATGAAGTTTCACATCTAAGCCGGGTATATGGAATATAGTCAAATCCGATAACATGGCTGCATTGGAGGGATTGTAGCGCAATTTACTTTTATCTCTTTGCCTTCGGGAGGGTGTAGGACTGCCCCAGTCATAGCCTATGCTACGTTCTCTCTTGTGGGTTTTCACGCTGGTGGGACCACTAACAAACAACTTATCATCCGTAGTTTCCTTGGTGTGTAAAACGCATTTGCCCGAATTAACCAACACTTTGATATCCAATTCAAAATCTATATTGGGTTCTTGTTGTTTCTGCTGATACTGATGTTTTCTTCTCATTTCCACCGAGGTGCCGTCTATATCAATTTCACTGGGAGGCGTATCTGTGGGTGCCTCCTGTGAATTAGTGCTTTGCGGTTCATCATCACTGTCCGCATTATTGGGCAATGATGTTTGTCTCATGGTCTCGGAGAAAGTAACACGATTTGCAGGATTAGTTTTCAAAGAAGCACTTCTCGAATGTCCTGAAACCGGAGTAGATTGTAAACTAGAAATTTCATCATTTGAGGCTATAGGATCTAAACGTCTGCCTGAATAAGTGGCTATGCCATCTTCGATATGATCACGATGAGAACCTATAAATGATATGGATCTTTGTGAGGTACGCATGCTTCGCCTCATCGAAGGTCTACGCCATTTCTGTATCATATCACGTCTAAAGTATTTATAGCATATGGCCTGCAGCTCCTGCAATCTTCTCTCCTCATGGGCTATGGTATTGTGTGTAGCCCCTAACGTACGCAAATCATTAATAATCTTCAACTGTTCTGCCATTTCCTTTTCCATCATAAATGATCGCTTTTTAGAGTCAATCGTAGGATCGAAAACAAATGATGGTAAATTTTCAAATTCTCTTCTACGTCCGAATGTATCTCGTGTAGCCTGTTCACCTTCATCACTATCGGGTGATTCTAAATTGGTTTCTTCCTCTTCAAACCCGGTCAACATGGTTAAAGTGTGACCCAAAGACGACAAATGTTTGCCTATGTTTATATCCAAATGTATATCAACACCTTCCATTTGCCACTTAACATTTAGCAACCATTTGGCATTTTCCATTTTCTTGGCAGCCGTGGTACGAGAACATACTTCATAGGTACCTTCCGATACTACACACACATTCATAATGGGCTCATTGTGATTGGGTTTCCAATCATCTAGAGTTGTCTCAAAGTCATCGGCAAAACGTAAACATAGACCTTGGAATTTCCCCTTAGAAACCAAGGAGCCCGAGTTACAAGCCGATATTATGGTATTCTCTAATGTTATGACAACAGCACCTTTAGGTTCGAAGTCTTGATATGAGCGAGAACCCCAAGACTAAAAGAAAATTTTAAAATTTATTATTTTATGTTTTAATCCAACTTGATTGATGATTTTGGGAGTCTGATACAACTTAATTTTCAGCATTCGTTTGTGATTTATACCCTTGTAGACAATAACAATAATTTTTTCAATATACTTACATTGGCCACTTGATTTAAGGGCAAACAAATACCCATATCCTCTACCGTTAATTGCAAAAATAAGGTAGATAAATTGGAACCAGCTATATTGCTAAATTGACCAAATGCTACCCTATCGAAAACCTAGAAAAACGAAACAATTAGAGAACATCATGGGACTAAAGAAAGCTAACTATTACACTCACCTGCTGCTGGGTCTGTTGAGCATTTTCATAACTCAAATTCGCCCGTTTCTCTGCCCAATATTCATACGCATTTTTATAGTTCAACCACACTAATATGGCCTTATCAACAGCTATCGGTTGAATGTATACCAAAGGACGTTTTAACGTTAACAATATCAATTCTTTATCTTCGTTAAGTAATTCATCTTGGAATGCATTACGCAAACCGATAGTTGTATGAAAAAACGCATATTGTTGGAACTCTGGCTCGGCCTCATCAAATATAACGTTACGTATCAATTGACCCAGTGATAAATTGAAATCTATATGAGCCTTGCCAAACATTTTGCGATCATTACCCTCACCCAAATTCTTAACACGATTGGAGAGATGTAACTCTAAAGTGCCTGTCTCAAAACGTACGGCTGAATTGCAGGGCGTAGTGGCCGTCAATTGTATACGTTTCATGGAAATGTTAATGGAAAAGAGTATACGTTTTAGACTTGATTCCTGAACACTACCACTATCACTGTCCTCTGACCACAGCGGTACTGGTTTCTCGCCACCATAGACTTTTTGTAAGACTTCATTTATTTCCCGCATAAATACTTTTTGCACAAAAACCAAATGATTAAGTAAATCGGTAGTTAAGCAACGTTCAAATTCTCCTATTTCGGCAGAGGCATTGACATAACCTCCTTGTCTTAATACTACACCCTCTACATGATCATTATCTTCTTGTCTATGTTCGGGCACATATTCAGCACTGACATGTACGGGAGGCAAAGCTATACAGGCTTCCGAAGGTAAATTCATTTCATTCTAAGGTAAATAAATTAATTATATTCTTTTATTAGTAAATGTTGGCCAAAGAAAACTCACCCTCACCTGAATTTTAGTATTAAAACTCAGTGTATGCGTTGGTAGGTCAATAACAAATTTAGCACGATTTCCTGATACTCCCGTAGAGCTAACATGATTCATACGATATTGAGCTTGCAAAGAAGGCAACAAGGCTGCATTTATGGATAGTGATTGCAACAGCACATTAAATTGCATGACCAAAGGCTGTAATAAGCCATTTTGTTGTGATTGCTGTTTGGTTTGTGTATTGTATTTACGATTTTGCTGCTGTGGCTTTTCCTTGGAATCCATATTCGAGCCAGAGTTACGTGAATGGAAAGGTGATTCTGGTTCATCTAAATTATGCGAACGAGAGGTGGTGCGTCCCGAATTACGTCCCACACGCAATTCCTGCAATGTCGATGACAATTGTTTGGAGGATCTAGTCATCATGCCATGTAAAGCCACCGGATGTTGGGGTATATCTATATTAACTGGCCCTATAGATAGCAGACCACTATTTTTGTCACGTCCTCTTTTTGTGAGACTAGAGTATAGAGTTTGACTTTTGCCTATGGTAACTTTGACAACAGTTCTGAAAGAAATTAATGTTTAATCATTAACCAGATTTCGATATATTTTATATTATTATTAGCTTACTGTTGATTTGGTGCCACGCCTTCTAACAACACAATCATGGCTCTACCCACTTGCCCAGTCAAAGAACACTCCAAAGACACTGGTCTAGCCTTTTTACGCCAAGTAGCCGAACCATTGAGAGTAGTAATTTCCGCCTCCAATTTCAAACCACTTAAAGTGGCTAGCAAACGTGTTTTATGTATTTTAGCCACACCAAACACTATAAGGCGAGTCCTTTCCTGTGATATACTATCAAATAGCTCCTTATGTTGAGGCAGTGGTGTAGGAGCACTAGTCAAATCATCATCATCATTACGGGTATCTTGACGATTATAGTTAAAAGCTTTCTTTTCATTTGTCAAAGAAATACGCTGTTGTACGGTTTTAGTCTCCGGCATAGTACCATATAATTCCAATAAATGATAAATAGTTTTCCAGCAATTTGGTGTTTCCAGTAGAGGAGGTATAAGATTATTAAAACCATTTTTAGTTATGGTATTATAATCACCACTAACACTAGTGGCACAGGCGCCATTCAAGGAAGCCTTGGATTCTAAAGACATTTTAAACATGTGATGTTCGGATACTGATGTCGTGGGACTGTCACGCAAAGGCGAGGAGCTCGACTCATTGAGATTTGTATAGCCCAGTTTGCCTTTGACTGATTTACCAGTTGATCTTAGTTTTTGAGCAAACGATTGTGGACGATTTTTGGCACTAGGCGAGGGTGTTAATTGTATTAGGGGTCCTAAGCCTGAGGTACCACGCATTTTGCTAAAAAGTTTATAGATTATAAATCTAATCATAAAATATTTATAACTTTAATATTTACCCTGAGGAATTATGATTCATGGTCATCATTTCATTGAATTTATCATAACGTTCATCTGAGGAATTTTCATTGTGAGCAAAACGATCGGATACGGACCCGAAAGGCATGATATCATTTGGTTCGGAGGCTAATTTTAAGAAAAAATAGAATAAAATATTTTAAATTTTAGTCAATCTTTATAATTCTTCATTAGTTCAGGCCCGAGTTCAAATCTTAGAGAGAACTTTTCCTAATTTGTTTAAAAAATACAAAAGAAATTGTTTTAAAAACACATAACTCGATGGAGCGTCATAAATTTGAGTCGTGAGTTTTCTGAAAAAGTATTTTGGACTTCGTATTTCTTGTTTACATCATTTCAAGCTAGATTGAAGTTTCAATTTCAAGCTAGATTGATTTTCTTCCTGTTGATTCTATCTATACTTATTGATAAATCAGCTGAAATGTTTGAAACATCATTCACAAAAAACCTACCCAAACTGTATTCATCCTTGGCATTAGATTTCTTACTTATATCCGGTTGATCATGGAATTCTTGCTGAGCATCTTTGACATTTTGATACATATTCGTAATTTGATGTAACAATCTTAATAAGGGCATATTAACCTAAATCGAAAACATTTTAATGTAATGATTTAGAATATCAATTACAAATCTTTATAACTTTACCTGTTGTGATATAAATCTTATATTTATGGAAAAATTTATAACCGTACTAGTGTGTTTCTTTAATTGGCGTCTTGACATATAAATAACATTTTGTCTGGCTTGATCGACCATGCCATCAGACATTTTTAGTACTTCTAGTTCTATGCCCACACGTTCGCACAAAAATAATGGTGTATCCATCATTATGGAGGGACGACCATTCGACTTTTTACTTGGTAGTTTAGTGGGTTTATTTTTGTTTTTATCTCCCGCCTCAGAGACAACTATGTCAACTCTTATGGAGTCAAAGGTGCCGATAAGCGAAAGATTTGTTCCAAAGTTTTCCAAAGAAGAAATATCTGCAAGAATTACGATATTGTATAAATGGAATGATATAATTCTCACAAACATAAAGGGAAAAGTTATACTCTTACTCACCAGCATTTTGAAATTTATTGACCATTTGTTGCGGCATAACACCTAAACAGGTGAGCAAGGGTTCAAAGATCAAATGAGCATCTAATAGTTTTATAGAATCCTGCATAATGCCTTGACGTGATTGTGTTTGTCCAGTTATTTTATTCACCGGTGTAGGTCTCAAAATTTCCTCCTTAGCAAAGTTATCTTTTTTTTTATTATTATCCTGTTGTTTAGCCATCCAAAAGTATAAATCCTCTTTTTGATTATCACTACCCAACCAGAATTTATTCACCGAATTGGTAGAACTTAAAGAACCCTCCTGAAGAGCACCATATTCTATAAACAAAACGATTGTAGAGAATTTCTTTTTTTTAGGGAAATTCCCCAAAAAAAACTTACCTATTTCAGCCACTTGTTTATCCACTAAACCCGATATAATGGGCAGCATTTGTATGCTAGAACGGGAAGAGTTACCATGAGAATATTGGGAACCTTTGCCAATACTTTTTCTAAACATTCAATGAAAAAAAAACCAAAACCATATATATAATAAAACACATTTAGACAAAAGACATTTTAATAAGACATAACTGTTAAAACATTGTTGTACTTACCCTTTTCTTGTTAGATGTATATTGGGTGATGTAGATGTGGACCTATGTGCTCCATGTAATACATCATCTGTAGTAAAACCCAAACCAAATTGTGTCGAGTCTATATTTAAATGGATTTTAATATTCAAAAATATTTTAACATTTTTTTTTTTATTAATAAATAACCAATTTTCTTTTCAAGTGTTTGGTGCTATAAATATGTTGACAAATTCCAAACAGCAAAATTTTGAAAATGGTTTTAATTCATGTTTTATATAGAAAAAAAAAATCTTTAAATTTATTTAAAAAAATTCTCAAAACTTTTACAAACTTTGTAAAAATCTAAAATTTTAAGAAAATTATATTTGGAATTTGCTTTTTAAGCTAAACAGGCCTATTACAGCATACATTTTCTTTTAATAAAAGTTTTGATTTCTTATTTTAGTTGCTTTCGAAATATTTAAAAAGAAAAATAGAAATCAAAACCAATTATATTTAGAAAATAATTCTATAACAAGCCCTTTTAGTTAAGATCATCTAAAACCAAGTGCAGTATTCAGAAATAAAAACACATAGAGTAGTAAGTGTATGTGTGTAAAAAAGTGTTATATCATCCTTAAAATATTCTCATATTTATAACAACAAACCAAAATTTTGCAATAAAATTTGAATACATTACCCTAATTATATTCAATTATAAAGAAAACCCAAAAACAAACTCTAGCATAAATATTGTATACAAAAACAATATTTAAGAAAAGTTTGTAAGTTACAAAAGAAAAAAAACTAAAAAAAATATATTGCATTTCAGCTTAAGGCCTAAAACACTAGAACAAACATTGAAGAAAACTAAAACACAAGGAAAAGTATTGTACACAAAAAACATATATATATAGTATTAAATATAGTAAATAGTATATAATATACACATAAAACATATAACATTTAAACAGATCTAAATGATAGTTATCATGAGCATACACACACACACACAGTAGTTAGATAGTTATAGCAAACACAATAAAACTTGACAAGAAATAAAAAAAACATAATAAGTGTTTAAAGGCCAAAATCAATCTAATAAAGCAGGTGCTAAAATAGTTTGCAATATAAAAAAAAAAAACCTTAAGCTGAAAATGCTTGATAAAAAAAACATAGCAAAATAAAAAAAAAAAAACCCAAAAATGAATTTTGTTTGTAATACAAAACAAAAAAATAAAACCAAAATCAAAATCAATTTCGAAAAAAAAAAATCATAAAAAAAATAAAAAAAAATTCTTTTTGTTAAAACAAAGGATAACTTTTTGAACAAAAACCAAATTTTCTTTACTCTGTTGAACAGGCAACGTAATAAATTGTTCTTTTTTGCTAATAGCAGCCAAAAAAACATAGTCATAAAATAGGTTAACAACAGGGTATCAAGAAGAGAAGTAATAAATAGAAATCAAAGAAAATTTGTTCTGTTCAAAAAACGAAGCGTTAATCAAAAGAATACCAATATGAGTTCGATGATGCTGTGTTTGCCCAAGTAATAAAGCATTCTCACTCTCTTCAGGATTATCTCCGACACCGGCATACGGTCCCATATCATTATCAGCTTCACACTCGCCATCATCAACTTCCTCTTCGTTTTGCGGGAATGAAAATGTCACATTAATGGGTCGTATTAGTTTATTTTTATATTGATGTTCGAAAAGTATGGGATTGTATAGAGTATTTTTCCACTGACGACTCAAAACAATAATGCCCTGTATTGGAATAAAGGTTGTTTAAAAGGGGTTTAAAATGTAAGGTATAGTTAACTCAAACCTGTCTTAAGGTATTTAGATGCGGTATATCCCCTTGTTTGAATATACGTTCAACCTTTTGTACTCCATCATCCAGCACTAGTTTCTGCATAATGAAACATAATTGGCAACTTGGATCCTCTTGCAAGGTTTTCGACAGTAAAGTATAGTTGTTGGCATAACGACTCTGTAAACGGTAATTAAATACATTTCTAAACTAGAATTGAACTAGAACTGAACTAGAACTGAACTAGAACTGAACTAGAACTGAACTAGAACTGAACTAGAACTGAACTAGAACTGAACTAGAACTGAACTAGAACTGAACTAGAACTGAACTAGAACTGAACTAGAACTGAACTAGAACTGAACTAGAACTGAACTAGAACTGAACTAGAACTGAACTAGAACTGAACTAGAACTGAACTAGAACTGAACTAGAACTGAACTAGAACTGAACTAGAACTGAACTAGAACTGAACTAGAACTGAACTAGAACTGAACTAGAACTGAACTAGAACTGAACTAGAACTGAACTAGAACTGAACTAGAACTGAACTAGAACTGAACTAGAACTGAACTAGAACTGAACTAGAACTGAACTAGAACACTGAACTAGAACTGAACTAGAACTGAACTAGAACTGAACTAGAACTGAACTAGAACTGAACTAGAACTGAACTAGAACTGAACTAGAACTGAACTAGAACTGAACTAGAACTGAACTAGAACTGAACTAGAACTGAACTAGAACTGAACTAGAACTGAACTAGAACTGAACTAGAACTGAACTAGAACTGAACTAGAACTGAACTAGAACTGAACTAGAACTGAACTAGAACTGAACTAGAACTGAACTAGAACTGAACTAGAACTGAACTAGAACTGAACTAGAACTGAACTAGAACTGAACTAGAACTGAACTAGAACTGAACTAGAACTGAACTAGAACTGAACTAGAACTGAACTAGAACTGAACTAGAACTGAACTAGAACTGAACTAGAACTGAACTAGAACTGAACTAGAACTGAACTAGAACTGAACTAGAACTGAACTAGAACTGAACTAGAACTGAACTAGAACTGAACTAGAACTGAACTAGAACTGAACTAGAACTGAACTAGAACTGAACTAGAACTGAACTAGAACTGAACTAGAACTGAACTAGAACTGAACTAGAACTGAACTAGAACTGAACTAGAACTGAACTAGAACTGAACTAGAACTGAACTAGAACTGAACTAGAACTGAACTAGAACTGAACTAGAATACTAGAACTGAACTAGAACTGAACTAGAACTGAACTAGAACTGAACTAGAACTGAACTAGAACTGAACTAGAACTGAACTAGAACTGAACTAGAACTGAACTAGAACTGAACTAGAACTGAACTAGAACTGAACTAGAACTGAACTAGAACTGAACTAGAACTGAACTAGAACTGAACTAGAACTAAACTAGAACTGAACTAGAACTAAACTAGAACTGATTTAGAACTGAACTAGAACAAGATAACAATCAGGTTTTCTTCTCACCTTCTTAATTTTCGGGTTCCTTTGTATCTTCTCATTCTCCAAGGCATCAGACATTAAACAAGCAGTAACAGCTGTTTGCCTCGAGTGCAAAGCCTTTAATAAAGCTACAATTTTTATAGCCAAGCGATTACTAGGATTCATCCATGCTGTTATGGCCGGCGAGGCGGTACTAAGTAGATTCCAGTCTAAACGTGTCAAATCTATCTTTCTCGTAATGGGCACGCATGGTGGAGCTGCAAAATTAAGCCCACACCGATTTCAATTCGATAACACATGACGAAGTCTTATCATTTTCCTTATTTGCCACTTTATCAAAAGGCTCCTGCTTCTTTTGTCCATTATTCATTTTACCCTTTTCCACATCTTCATCTGGTGGTTTGGGAGTAGATTTGCGATTTTCGCTATTTATTTCAGGGCGTTCGGTAACAATGATGTTTTCCAAAGCAGTCTGGAATTTTTCTTTAGGAGTTTTGGGTGTGGGCGGTTTCTTAGTTAATAATCGCCAGGCAGCCTCTGCTCTTGAGGTGGCCGAAACATCTATTTGTGGATTATTGGTAGCGGTGGTGGTAGCTGTTTCTACCAATTCATTTAAACCTTCTTCCGCCATTTCAGCCAGTTCTTCTTTGGAATTTTCAGATTTTTCAAAATGTGATCGCTTAACTATCTTTACACCCACTCCCTCTAAACCACATTCAAACATTATGTAACCAATGCTATCTACTCCCGTATTATCGGTCATTTTTAGGCATTCAAATAAAACTTTACTCTTAGGTTCTGGTATAGCAGTAACCATAATAGGAGATTCCTGTCCTGTGGTGCTTTCAGTTTTTAAACGTCTTAGTTGAGCATGAGCTCGACCCACATCTAGTGTTATTACCAATTCTTCAAGTTGTTTTTCAGAAGTTTCGATCAGTATAGGTTCTCCTTGCACATTATCAGGGCGAGATTGTGAAGATAGATGCGCCAGTAATGCTCTGGTGCCCTTCATTATACCTCCTTTTTTATTGCTATTGCCAGACTGCACTGTCTGTTGTATGTAAACATTATGCATGGAGGCACGGGTCGTTTTACCCAAATGAAATTTAGTGGAAACACCTTCTATGTAGAATGTCAGTAAGGACACGCAACTAAGATCCTTTAAGTTATAAATATTAGTAAGACAATTTTATAATAATTAACATTATTTATTAACCCACCTGCACATTATCCAAGGCAGCCACTGAAATAACCTCTTCGATTATGGATGATTGTAACATGGTTATGCTGACCTTGGGTAAAACAATTAAACCCTGGGTCTTGGTCGATATGCTTTCTTCATAAACATCACTTAAGAAAGAATCGCCAGGCCCTAATAAATTACGTTCTGTTGTAGAACGTTTAGAGTTAGAATGCACTTGTGACCAATAACTCAAAGATTGATCCCTTTTTAAAATGTTGTCATTCTTAACTTTGGCTATACAAGAGGAGTGTATGTAATTCACCACAGTTAATAAATGCATATTCGAAAATGTAGGTATGGCAGCTTCAACCATTCTGAAAGGAATTTATTAAAATTGAAATTTGAAATATTTATCATTTGTTAATAAAATATGTAAATAAATAAAACAAAATGTTGGCGGTTGAAATAAATTCGATTTTAGGAATAATTTTTGCAATTTTAACAGTGTTTGTTAAAGTTTATAACACTTTTGACGATATGGTGAGTAATTTAATTATGTATTAAGTTTGTATTGATCAAAATTTCTAACTGAATTTCCCGTAACCAGAATAGATGTAATTTGGCATTCATGTTAAGATCTAGTTCAGTTCTAATTCAGTTATAGTTCAGTTCTAGTTCAGTTCTAGTTCTAGTTCAGTTCTAGTTCAGTTTTAGTTCAGTTCTAGTTCAGTTCTCAGTTCAGTTCTAGTTTCAGTTAGTTCTAGGTTCTAGTTCAGTTCTAGTTCAGTCTAGTTCAGTTCTAGTTCAGTCTAGTTCACGTTCTAGTCAGTTTCTAGTTTCAGTTCTAGTTCAGTTCTAGTTCAGTTCTCGTTCAGTCTAGTTCAGTTCTAGTTCAGTTCTAGGTTCAGTTCTAGTTCAGTTCTGTTTCAGTTCTAGTTCAGTGTCTAGTTCAGTTTCTAGTCAGTTCTAGGTTCAGTTCTAGGTCATTCTAGTTCGTTCTATTCATTTCTAGTTCAGTTTCTAGTTTCAGGGGTTCTATTTTCAGTTCTTCAGTCTAGTTCAGTTCTAGTTCAGTTTCTAGTTCAGTCTAGTTCAGTTTCTAGTTCAGTTCTAGTTCAGTTCTAGTTCAGTTCTAGTTCAGTTCTAGTTCAGTTCTAGTTGCAGTTCTAGTTTCAGTTTCTAGTTCAGTTCTAGTTCAGTTCTAGTTCAGTTCTAGTTCAGTTCTTTCAGTTCTAGTTCAGTTCTAGTTCAGTTCTAGTTCAGTTCTAGTTCAGTTCTAGTTCAGTTCTAGTTCAGTTCTAGTTCAGTTCTAGTTCAGTTCTAGTTCAGTTCTAGTTCAGTACTAGTTCAGTTCTAGTTCAGTTCTAGTTCAGTTCTAGTTCAGTTCTAGTTCAGTTCTAGTTCAGTTCTAGTTCATTTCGTTCAGTTCTAGTTCAGTTCTAGTTCAGTTCTAGTTCAGTTCTAGTTCAGTTCTAGTTCAGTTCTAGTTCAGTTCTAGTTCAGTTCTAGTTCAGTTCTAGTTCAGTTCTAGTTCAGTTCTAGTTCAATTCTAGTTCAGTTCTAGTTCAGTTCTAGTTCAGTTCTAGTTCAGTTCTAGTTCAGTTCTAGTTCAGTTCTAGTTCAGTTCTAGTTCAGTTCTAGTTCAGTTCTAGTTCAGTTATAGTTCAGTTCTCAGTTCTAGTTCAGTTCTAGTTCAGTTCTAGTTCAGTTCTAGTTCAATTCTAGTTCAGTTCTAGTTCAGTTCTAGTTTAGTTCTAGTTCAGTTCTAGTTCAGTTCTAGTTCAGTTCTAGTTCAGTTCTAGTTCAGTTCTAGTTCAGTTCTAGTTCAGTTCTAGTTCAGTTCTAGTTCAGTTCTAGTTCAGTTCTAGTTCAGTTCTAGTTCAGTTCTAGTTCAGTTCTAGTTCAGTTCTAGTTCAGTTCTAGTTCAGTTCTAGTTCAGTTCTAGTTCAGTTCTAGTTCAGTTCTAGTTCAGTTCTAGTTCAGTTCTAGTTCAGTTCTAGTTCAGTTCTAGTTCAGTTCTAGTTCAGTTCTAGTTCAATTCTAGTTCAGTTCTAGTTCAGTTCTAGTAGTTCTAGTTCAGTTCTAGTTCAGTTCTAGTTCAGTTCTAGTTCAGTTCTAGTTCAGTTCTAGTTCAGTTCTAGTTCAGTTCTAGTTCAGTTCTAGTTCAGTTCTAGTTCAGTTCTAGTTCAGTTCTAGTTCAGTTCTAGTTCAGTTCTAGTTCAGTTCTAGTTCAGTTCTAGTTCAGTTCTAGTTCAGTTCTAGTTCAGTTCTAGTTCAGTTCTAGTTCAGTTCTAGTTCAGTTCTAGTTCAGTTCTAGTTCAGTTCTAGTTCAGTTCTAGTTCAGTTCTAGTTCAGTTCTAGTTCAGTTCTAGTTCAGTTCTAGTTCAGTTCTAGTTCAGTTCTAGTTCAGTTCTAGTTCAGTTCTAGTTCAGTTCTAGTTCAGTTCTAGTTCAGTTCTAGTTCAGTTCTAGTTCAGTTCTAGTTCAGTTCTAGTTCAGTTCTAGTTCAGTTCTAGTTCAGTTCTAGTTCAGTTCTAGTTCAGTTCTAGTTCAGTTCTAGTTCAGTTCTAGTTCAGTTCTAGTTCAGTTCTAGTTCAGTTCTAGTTCAGTTCTAGTTCAGTTCTAGTTCAATTCTAGTTCAATCTAGTTCAGTTCTAGTTCAGTTCTAGTTCAGTTCTAGTTCAGTTCTAGTTCAGTTCTAGTTCAGTTCTAGTTCAGTTCTAGTTCAGTTCTAGTTCAGTTCTAGTTCAGTTCTAGTTCAGTTCTAGTTCAATTCTAGTTCAGTTCAGTTCTAGTTCAGTTCTAGTTCAGTTCTAGTTCAGTTCTAGTTCAGTTCTAGTTCAGTTCTAGTTCAGTTCTAGTTCAGTTCTAGTTCAGTTCTAGTTCAATTTTAGTTCAGTTCTAGTTCAGTTCTAGTTCAGTTCTAGTTCAGTTCTAGTTCAGTTCTAGTTCAGTTCTAGTTCAGTTCTAGTTCAGTTCTAGTTCAGTTCTAGTTCAGTTCTAGTTCGATTCTAGTTCAGTTCTAGTTCAGTTCTAGTTCAGTTCTAGTTCAGTTCTAGTTCGATTCTAGTTCAGTTCTAGTTCAGATCAGTTCAGGAATAAAGTTATTTCATTTCTGTTGTTATAGCAATTGGAAAATCAAGATATTACCAGCGATCTATCGGATAACGAACTTAAATTGGCTTTAAGTGACTTATCTCTTAAAGATTTGGATACTTTACAAAAATTTATTGACTCGACTGATTATGAAGATTTAGATCACCAGGATCAAAGGTAAAAAAAAGTAAGCATTAATGAATCAATTAAATATGTTTTATTTGCTAGATTTATAAACACAAATGCTAAGACTTTAGATGGAAATAACTTTGAGGCTCAAGATTTCGATAATATAATGTATTATAACCCCGAACAAGAAGATTACAATTTTGAGCCCCTAAACAATAAAAACGATTTAAATTACTATATTAAACCAAAGGAAGAAAATCAAAGAGCTAAAAGAGCTGATGAAAAGGTATATACAATTGAACATATTAAAAAAAAAACATAAAAATTATTCAAATTATTCCTTTAGACGAATACAAATGAGGAATACTTAAAACAATTGGATTATTCATTTCCCCAAACTGACAAGCAAAACCATAAGAATTATGACAATGATTTTAAAAACCAACATGTTAGAGTTAAAAGAAATTAACTTAACAATTTTATTAAACTGTTTAATATTTTGAAAAACTTACCTTTGTAAACCCTCTAGCAATAAAGGTGTTAAAAATATATTAACCTGACCCTTTAGTCTAGCCACCACAGAGGTACAGGCGGCTCCCTCAGCTTGTAAACTCATAAATTCACCATCATCAAAACCATTTGTGGTTTTGTCATTCTCCTCTTCTTTTAAAAGAACACTAGGATCCCAAGGATGTGATTTGGGTCCTCCCATAAATGTAGCCGAACTATTGCTACCAGTTTGATTTTCATAGCGCGGCACTACTTTTATTTCACGCCACGATGAATACAAATCAAAGTGTGGTATCATTTTACTGCCTATATAGGTTAGACCACCATCTTCATTTTCACTAAACAGTGGCGTGGAAAAGACATCCAAACCCGAGGGAAAAGAACAAGAAGTCCAATTGAAACATTTCACTTGAGACAGATGATTTAAATAACTGGCCATTAGTAGGGGAGAATCGATAATAGGTCTATTCACTTGCTGATGTAGATTAACTAAAGCGACATCTTCTTGTGAGGACATAGCCGAAATAAAAGAATTCGATGATAACGAAGGGGTGCCAGATGAAGAACCTCTAGAGTCGACCTTTTTTAAATAGAAAAAATATATATGGGTTAAATTTAGTATTAATGGTTTATTTATGGTTAGGAAATTCTAAAACTAAAATTGATGCAAAGACATTTTCAAATAACGCATTCGTAACTAGTGTGTGATTTAAAAAAATAGAACAACTAATCTGAAAATTAAGTTTAGCAAATGTTATACATAGTTCTATAATTTAACGGAAGACCAATTCTAGTTCAGTTCTAGTTCAGTTCTAGTTCAGTTCTAGTTCAGTTCTAGTTCAGTTCTAGTTCAGTTCTAGTTCAGTTCTAGTTCAGTTCTAGTTCAGTTCTAGTTCAGTTCTAGTTCAGTTCTAGTTCAGTTCTAGTTCAGTTCTAGTTCAGTTCTAGTTCAGTTCAGTTCTAGTTTAATTCTAGTTCAGTTCTAGTTCAGATCTAGTTCAGTTCTAGTTCAGTTCTAGTTCAGTTCTAGTTCAGTACTAGTTCAGTTCTAGTTCAGTTCTAGTTCAGTTCTAGTTCTAGTTCAGTTCTAGTTCTAGTTCAGTTCTAGTTCTAGTTCAGTTCTAGTTCAGTTCTAGTTCAGTTCTAGTTATGTTCTAGTTCAGTTAAGTTCTAGTTTTAATAACTAAAGAATAATCTAGAATTTTGACTATAGGTCAGTATTGATCAGTATTGACTATAGTTTAATCAACAATATAAAGTCTTGGCTATAGTCTAGGATCTAAACTTATATGTAGTTTATAGTCTTAACACTAGTTTAAACTTTTATATGGCTTGTATTCTTGACTATAGTCTAGACTGACATATACTTAATCTAGAGTCATCACTACATAGTGATCTTTATTATTCGCTTTTGAATAATCTATAGACTGATCTATAGTCTTGGCTTTTGCATGATCTATAGTCCTAACTATATACTGATCTACAATCTTGACTTTTGAATGGTCTATAGTCCTGACTTAACCAAATACTGGTCTATAGTTTGCATTCTTGACTAAAGGGTAATCTATAGACTTGGCTTTAGAATGATCTATACAACCTTGACAATATATATTGATATAAAGTCTTAGCTTTAGACTGATTTATTGTCTTGACTACAAGATTATCCTGTCTTTACTATAGTCTATAGTCCAGACTATAGACTGATCTACAGTCTTATCTGTGGTATTTAACATATAGTCCACATTACAGACTGTAGAGTAATCTATAGTCTTGGCTTTAGAATAATCTAAAGACCTGTAGACTGTGACTGAGTCTTAACAATAGACTGATGAATTTATATTTTTAACATGTGATTAGCAACTAAATACATGCAAATTACTTTTCTTATATAAAAAAACAATTGTTAACAACATTCCATTTTAAAGTGCAAGGGCAAAAGAAAAATCAATACAAAACAATAATAAACGGAAAGACTAATATAAGAAAAATTAGCCAATTTTTAAATTAATTTCCAACTACAGTTTCAAAATACTATTGAAACCAAAAGAAATTAAAATAAACGAAAGAAAAGTTAGTTGTTTGGTTATTAAAAAACAGTTTCTAGAAACAATAGTAAAAGTTCTAAGAAGGTTGTTGGTTGTTTTTTGTTTGGAAACACTAAAAACTACTCACATCATGAATAAAATGTCGATACTCAGGTCTTGATGAGATATTAGTTAGTTTTCTGATTGGTGTAGCAAGACCATGAATACGTCTGACGTCTTCGTTCTATGAAATTGATGGGATTTATTTTTTGAAAATTTTAACAAATTTGTTTTTCGATTTTTTTTTTTAGTTTTTTGCATAGTGATATCAATTGTTTAATGAGTTTTATTATTTATATATTATATGTACAGAATAAAGCATGCAAAAGTTGTTGTTGTTGAAAGATTTATATAAAAAAAAGTAGAGAAATTAGTTGGAAGTTGTTTGGTTTTGAAATTTAGTTTTTATTTTCTTTTAAATTAAAAGCTAATTTTTAAAATATAGTTTTACTTAGTTAGCTTTCTTTAAAAAAATAGTTATAGTTTTTAAAATATTTATATATATTTTTCGTAAATAATTATTATTAAAAAATATGTGAAGCTTGTTAAGATGTTGTTTATTTAGGTGATTTATTTTGGGTGAAAACTTTAAACTATTGCAAAAAGTTTACAAAGATTTTGAAAACTTACCAATTCTGTAGTACTTTGCGGGCGTTTAGTCAAAGGTTTTGTATTGGGCTCTGGAGCATGTATTTCTAAATCACTGCGATAGGTATTTAGAGATGATAATGTGGCGTTTTCATTTTGATTGCCAATGCTGTAATGAAAAAATTTAAATTATTTCAAATTAAAAAGTTTCTAACTGAAGCTTAGCGTGAAAAATTTTATAAAAATTAAAAGAAAAATTTTAAAAAAATTACACAGAATTTTCGCGGATTTTGTAATCAAAATTTTTCACTAAGTTTTAAGTTTAAATCGCAAAAAAAAATATTAAAAAATAAGTTTCACTAAAAATTATTTTCACCAAAAACTGTTTTCACCAAAAAATTTCACTACAAACTACTTTCATCGCAAATTTTCTCTACAAACTGTTTTCATCGAAAATTTTCACTAAAAACTGCTTTCACCAAAAAATTTCACTAAAAATTACTTTCACCAAATATTGCCACTAAACTGCTTTACCCAAAAATTTCACTACAAACTGTTTTCATCGCAAATAGCACAAAAAGATAGTTTTCGCAGGAAATTTTCACTAAAAACTGTTTTCGCCAAAAAATTTCACCAAAAATTTGTTTCACTTTAATAGTTTTCTAGAAAAATTTCACTAAAAACTAAAACGGTAAAAATTTTGCTAAAAACTGCTTTAACTGAAAAAATTTCCTAAAAATTGCTTTCACCAAAAAATTTCACCAAAAGACTGCTTTAAGCGAAAATTTTCACTACAAACGAAAAAATTCACTAAAAGCTGTTTTCGCCGAAATATACTGTTTTTATCGCAAATTTTTACTAAAAATTTTGTTTGCAAAAAATGTTCACTAAAAACGGGTTTTTTTCCGAAAATTTCACTATAAATTGTTTTAACCGAAAAATTTCACTCCAACAGTTTTCTCCAAAAATTCCAATAAATCTGTTTTCACCGAAAAATTTCACTAAAAATAGTTTTCGCCGGAATTTTTGCATTTTGTCGATAAGAAAATAATTACCTTAAATCCGATGAAAAACGTTTTTTGCCCGAAAATATAATGGAACCATTATGATTCTTAATTGAACCCCTTTGAGACATCATATTCGAAATATCCTCTTCGGCGGAGAAAAACATTTCGGAGGGATTTTCCGATGTTAGTGAAATAGTACGTTGAACTTCACGCGTCAAATGATCACCATTCGTTAAATCGACAGGCATTTGATTTTGTATATTTATATCGGCAATTTCAAATTCCAAAGGATGAGAATGTGGTGCCGAATGGGACATTTCATCGGGTATCTAAAATCAAAAAAATATAATAAATAATCATGTTTTAATTTCTTAAAATTATCAAAATTTACCTCTAATTCATCTTCTACATTAACTTCACCAGTTAAACGAGAATCGGAGATACTAGTTTTGGGCGGTGAAACACGTAAAGTGTTATTTTGTGACTTATTAGAATCCGAGCCACGACGATAGACTACACCTTGAGATTCAGTGGAATCTTGTCTTAAAACCTTTTTCGAAGGACTATCCAAGAGGCGAGCATAAGGAACTTCTACTGAGGTTTGACGAGTGGTAGAATAACGTTTGGTGCGCCGTTCCAGAGTATTAGGAGAACCAATACTTTCTCTTGATTTACGGCCATTAATATCCTTTTCCAATGTAGATGCACCACCAATTTTCATTTTGGTATTGAGTTCTTTGCCGGCTAAATCAGATTTCTTAAGACTGCCATTAACAGCCACAGCAGGACGATATAGTTTGCCCTAAAAGTAATAAACAAAATAGTTAAAACTTAAATTTTTATTCTAGGTTTCACTGGCTTACCTTTCCTGTAAAGTCTGCTGAATCATGTAGATATACTGAGTGTAAACTATAAGGTGGTGTATGAAAAACTAATTGTCCTTGATGCAAAATACTCTCACCAAAGCCAAAATCTTTGTTGTTATTAATAATGCTGAAATTTTCAAAAATTATAATAAAAATTCTGAACTTATACCATAAACTGTTAATACTCACAAATATCTGGCTATATTATAATTATCTACCAAATCTTGGGCAGAGGGTTTGAAAAATTTCAAGCCATTGCGATTACTACCAAAAAAGGCACAGCCTCCAATACAACCACAGCGAGATATGTCAACAACACCTCCAACAGCATTGGCATTAGTAGTATTAGACCACAAAAACCACAAACGTTTAGTTTTAACATCATGTTCACGCAAAAAACTAAAATAGAAATAAAATTACTGAAGAAAAACAAAAAGGAATCAAGAATTTAGAAGTTATACTTATGCTGCACTAAATGCAATTTATGATCGGGTATTGGCAATGCCGAGGCTCCCTCTAGAAGTATAGGACCCAGTGATGTACAACCTACTTCTACCCAATTTTCAAAGAATTCATTGTCATAGGCCGTAGGACGACGACATTCCGAAAAACTATCACGTAATTTGCGTGAACTTTCTTCACGTGAATCCCTTCTTTGTGAGAATGAATTAGAGCTTCGTTTCGATTTACCCTGATGAGGAGGAGGAGGCTGATGTGTATTATGATATATTTCTGATTTTACAGAATCTTGATCTGCACGTCGTATTTTTCCCGATCTATTGCTACCAGTGGTATTTGTATTATAAGAATTTGTCATATTTGAAGTACAACCAGCATTTAACATAAACAGTCTTATTAAAATTGAAGGTAATAAACCGGATATACCGGATTTAACACGCTGACCATGGAGATTGCAATTAGCCAAACGTATAGGAGAGATCTAGAAGAGATCATTAAATTATATTATTTATAGTTTAGCTGAATATCCTTTCACTTACCCATGCATGCAAAGCTGTACCACTCTCTATCAGATATACATCAACTGCATCCACAGAAACACGAGTCATTTTATATTTAATATCTTCAGCCGAGGGACATTTGTATTTATTCTCCTCTTTAGTATGAGGACATTGATTACTGGGCACACCATGATGACAATTGCGTACAGTCTTCGGAGATTTAAGACAATTTTCTGGATCTACTGCCAAAAGCACTAATGTCTCTAGGCCAACGGCCACATTAAATAGTTGTGGTAATGTTAGCTTTCCCGATAATTTACCCAATTGTACCTCTACCAGCCAGGAGTATTCTAGCGTGTCTTCGTCTAAAGCACAACCTTCATTACTGAACATAGCATGACCACGAACCTGGAAAGAAATAAAAAAAATATAAATTGGTCTTGACTATGAAGAGAATTATAGTATAGTCAATAGTGATCTATAGTTGGAACTTTAAGTGATCTATACTCTTGACAATAGGCTGATCTATAGTGATGACTATAGGCTAATTTATAGTCTTGACAAAAGACTGTTCTATACACGTGACTATAGACTGATCTATAGCCATGACAATAGACTTGACTATAGACTGATCTATAGTCTTGACTATAGTCTTAACTATAGACTGATCTATATTCTGAACTATAGACTAATCTATAGTCTTGAATACAGTCTGAGTTATAGTCTTGACAATAGACTGATCTATAGTTTTGACAATAGACTGATCTATAGTCTTAACTATAGACTGATCTATAGTCTTGAATATAGACTGATCTATAGTCTTGAATATAGATTGATCTATAGTCCTGACTATAGACTGATCTATAGTCTTGACTATAGACTGATCTATAGTCTTGACTATGGACTGATCTATAGTCTTAACTATAGACTGATCTATAGTCTTGACTATGGACTGATCTATAGTCTTAACTATGGACTGATCTATATAGTCTTAACTATAGACTCATCTATAGTCTTGACTATAGACTAATCTATAGTCTTGACTATAGACTGATCTATAGTCTTGACTATAGACTGATCTATAGTCTTGACTATAGACTGATCTATAGTCTTCACTATAGACTAATCTATAGTCCTTACTATGGACTTATCTATAGTCTTGAATATAGACTGATCTTTAGTCTTGACAAAAGACTAATCTATAGTCTTAACATTAGACAGATCTATTGTCCTGGCTTTAGACTGATATTTAATATTAACTAAAGATTGATCTATAGTCTTCATTGTAGACAGATTTGAAAAAAGTGTAAGGTTTAACATTTCTCTTACCTGTACAGCAGACAGCATTAGATGGCCCTGATTTATATGTTTATCACGATTTTGTCTCACCACCGTATCCGAGGTTATTAAATACGAAGGACTTACTAAAACCTGCAGTGTTGTCTCATGATAACGTTTATTCATTTCAAAACCTAAACGTTCTATTAACACCACCGGACAGGGTGGATCATTTTCATTACAATTCTTCATAACATGAGCCTGTATGTCGTGTATTATAACAGATACTATAACCTCCAGTGGTCTATATAAACGAGGATCGAAAGGTTTTTGTTTCTCCTCCGGTACGGTCACCTCAGATATGGACTTTGTAGCCAGATCTTTGTCTTTAACTAGTAATTGATCTTTGGGATTGACCGGCGCTGCAGTAGATGAATCTTTTGTTTTAATATTTGATTGTTCCATATCGGTGAAATTTTGATCTTCACCAAATATGTTCTCCTTAAGATTTATGAAATTCCTTAAAACATTACCATAACACATGAGTACAGAAGAGCCGATTTCTAGCTCTACCGTGACATGATCTGCCGGCAAAGTGGCAGGATCAAATTTATATTGTTCTGGCTTTTGCCAATTTTGATTGGGAGACTTACGAGTTTGCGGTATACGCATAGGACTGAGCAAAATTTCTTCTTTTTCAGGTGTTGTTATATCAGCTTGAGGATCTGGTCCCAAGGGTGGTACGGGATGGTAAACATATTGTATGGATAAAGCTACAATAGGTACAGTCCAACAATCAATCCAACCGGATGTTCTTTGGCAAATTTTACGCCATTTTTTGGTATACAACTCAGGTCTAGTTTTAACTTTGCCACCACGTGTTAGCAGGCGAGCATTTTCATCTATGGCCAAAACAATAGGTTTAGTCGAGGACACTTCTGGTACATATAAACTCAAGTCCAAACCCTCTCCATGTATCCAAAACTTTAAAGTCACTGTTTTAGGCAGAAAATCATCAAACGGCAAAGCAAAGCTCATATCAAATACATCACCACAAAATGCCAAATGATTATTTTCCTGATTAGCGCTGGAGCAATCAATCCAATTGTATTCATTACACAAAGTCAAGATCTCAAATTCATTTAGTAGAATATTAAATTTACAAGTATATGGCACAAAAGTTAAAATATCGGGTCTAGCTTTGCTAGCCCAATCTTCTATGAGATCTTGAAAGAAACATTTATGTTTGTAGACAATATAGGCGGTGGCTTTGCAACCGGTCAGCGCTATGCTCCAATCCTGAGGTGCATTCCACTTTGTGGGATAATGTATGCGTACCTTATACTCCAACGATTCGAATTCTGCTAAACTACGATATTGTAATGAAGTGGTGGCCTCTACATGAAAGAGTTGACCTTGTATTTTAGAGGTATAACCATCTGATAGCGTCACCCAGGGTATGGTCACCTCTACATAAGAGGCAGGACCCACTGTTATATGCATGGCATTGGTTTCTTTTTCTTTAGAGAATAATATATCAATGGTGGCTTCATTTAACACACACAAAGTAACATCAAACGATTGGTAACTCCGCAATTCTCCCGGTTTGGGTGTGGCCGTAACCTGCATTTCTTTCCAGTCGGGTGGATAGAAAAAATTAAACAAATGATCCCTTTGTCTATCCGCCCAGGGGCCATAACTAAAATCAGTGCCTTTCAGACACTTAATATCAATACCCAATACCGGTGGCAAAGGTTCAACCTTATCACCATTGGCTAAAATTATATGTACAGGTTCCTCCGGCACTACACCCGGTTCATCCATATAAAAATATAAATCCATTTGATTTGACATCATGACCACAAAACCTTCACCCATATAACGGGGTGGTTCATCAACCAGCCCCGTATACTTGGGACTGGGAGCAAACATAACTTTGGCATTTTCCACATTGGCCTTGACAAAATGCATAAAATGATCTAGACGACAAACGGCAGGCTTTGTACTATACGTACAGTGAGCTTCTTCCATCGATATGGAAAGAGTGGTAGGTGTTAGACGATTGCCAAAGACAAAACGTCCTGAGCAGATATCAAGTTTAATCACAGGTATGAGATCACGCCATGTTGTGGCTTTCATAGCTTCGGAATGTTTAACACTTTGATGCTTGCTATGACGAGCATTTTCCATATTCATAGTATGTTCTTTTAGTTTTGAACGTTCTTCGGTTGACAGGGAATCGGTCTTAAAAAGTAGAGTATAACAAGTATAAAATTTTATGTATTATCTTTTATATTTAGAAAAAATCTAAAACTCACCGGTATTAGTAGAGAAGGCTTTAAGCCAAATGTTCTTTCTAATTCATCATATAAATCAGAACGATTATAAATATGCAATTCAGAACCATTTAATTGTACAGATAATCTTGTATCCGAATGTGACAGATCTATAAGGAACAATTAAAATATATTTAGCAAAAACAAATTATTCTATTAACCTACCTTCTGATACATCTTTTGGCACATATGACCGCCACCAACGAAATATAAAATAACCATCTTGTATACGTGCCGAATAATCATAGGTTATATAGACAAAATCACGAAACATTATTTTACCAGCTAAAGGATTTAAGGCTACAGAACCTGTAATAATAAAATGTTAGTTATGGAATAACTTAAGTGTTTAAAATTTACTAACCAATTTTAAAATATGCTCCTTTGATGAACCAACGATTAGCTATTTTTGTTATTAGCATACCAATCAAACGGGAATTGTAGAATGTTATATAGGTTACCCATGTTATCGATGTTAGGAGAGAGCAAAGCAACCATATCTGGAGATTTAAAAATAAAATCAATTAATATAATATTTTACAAATTTTAGGCGTAAAAGTCAATTTATATTCATAATATTTATTTAAAAACTTTTTCCATTTAAGAGTTTCTTTTTAGGCCTGTATTTTCGAAATTAGCTTCGAAATAGATTTCGAATTTTCGAAATTCTCTAAATTGCATGAAATGGATTATTTAAGTCTTTTATGAGGACTTCTTTTGATCACTTCCGACTCATTTTTAAATCCTATTTTGGAGTCTTTTTTGAGTAATGTTTACAAATAATTAAATGACGGAGACCGAATGAAGAAAGAAATCAAATAAGGAATCCATAATAACATAGATTTGACAATCTCAAAACACTTATACACTCGTATGTAAGTACCCCTTGCTAAGAAAATGATTTGGCGGGGGTATCTATAATACAAAAAAAGTACTATTGTGATTAATGATATAGAATTAAATACTTTTTATAGGTATGATTAATATAATATTAAAATTAATCACTAATTCATTCCTACGTCATAATAGCTAATCGTAATTAAATATAAAAAAGAATGTCAACAATAATAAACACCCCCAATAAAACAATAATAAATATTGTTAACGACCGGCAAAAAAAAAAAGAAAAAAGAAAGGTTTACCGGCATTTGCGGTCAATCAACCGCCAAGAAAAAATCAACACTTTCAGTGAAAGTCAACAAGTAGTTGTTTTTCTCAATTACGGTAAATGAACTCAAAATTTCTTTGTTTATTTACATTTTTTTTTTGGGTAAATGAAAACAACAAAAAAAGAGTTTGTTTACAAACAAAATAACAACAGGTTGTTTAGGGGGAAGCCAACAAAATAACCCCCTCTCAAAAAATTTACAAAAACATATGATCGAACAGATGTTTTATAAAGTGTCATGAACACAGCCATCCAAATTCCATAAAGGGGTACAGGGCAAAGTGCGTAGATGAACAAATAAAAAAAAATCTATTACTCGCACACACACACAAATGCAAATTATTTAACATGAAAGCAAAAACAAGCACAAAGAAATATAAATGGAAAACAAAGAATAAAATATTAAAATTAATTTAATTATTACAGATTAGATTTACATAAATATGTAATTGCAAATTTTCAATTTTCTAGAAACAAATAGGATTTCTTTATTCTGTTATACCGAATCTTAAATACCCTTCAGCTAAATAAATAATAAACAAATAGATCGCCGATTCCGATATTTTTATTAATTCTTGAGTTATTTGCGAAAAGGCAATGAAAATTCTGTACTTTAGTACTTTTTCACTACTTTCTAACTTCATGTGTCTAGTCTGTAGTCTAGTCTATAATCTAGTCTTTAGTCTAGTCTATAATCTAGTCTATAGTCTGGACTATAATATAGTCTATAGTCCGGTCTATAGTCCAGTCCATAGTCCAGTCTATAGTCTAATCTATAGTCCAATCTATAGTGTAGCCTGTAGTTCAGTCTATAGTCTTGTATATAGTCTAGTCTTTAGTCTAGTCTATAGTTTAGTATAGAGATCTGTAGTCTAGTATATATATAAGTCTATACTCTAGTCTAGCGGATAATTAGTTTGGTACTTTAGATCCTAAAATAATAATAGTTATAAGTTAATACTATTTAAAATATTTAATTTTGTCTGATTTGTAACCATACAAAACTTTTTTAATTTGTATGGAAGTAGATACAGACAGACATACGAACTTGCCTTAATGGATTTCGCTACCTATTAAGACATGCAATATACACTTTAATTACAAATGTAACCACAAACTTATATATGTATACCCTTCCCACTAAGGTGTAGGGTATAACAACGGAAATTCCAGTAAGACATATTAACATTATTCTAAACCATTGTTTATGGTCCAATAACAACAATCTTATCTATAGAAATATGGTCACAGAATTATGACAACGACCCTTTTCTTCGATTTTTTTTTATTTAATTCAATTACTGATAAGCCAAAGAAAATAATTAAATTTTTGTATGTGTTTAAACAAATACCACAAAAAAATAATATTAAGTCCATGATTCATTACAAAGTTTTTATTAACTATTATGTTTTTACCATGGGCGCATCGATTTTCATATTTTCCAAGGGTATGCCACCAGTTGTATTATATGTTCCTTCCGGGAAACCAATACTATCCCCGAAATCACTTCTGCCATCTTCTTTTAGATCCATTGTGTTGTTTTTTATATTTAATTTATTTATTTCATATATATATATTATTGCACTTTTAACATTGATTTATATATTTTTTCGCTGGAAAATTTAATTATTTTCTTCGTTTTCTCGTTTTGCTTTATTTTATTTTTTTTTTTTCTTTGTTGTGACTTCGATTTTTACCAGTTTAGGTTGTTTTAGGGTTGGGTCATGTAATCATTTATTTACAAATTAAACACTTTATTCATTTTAATTTATTGATTTTTTAAACACTAGATTAAAGTTCAACGTTATTTTTATTTTATTACACATTTTTCTAGTAATTTTTCGTTAGAAATAATAAATTTTCCTTAAAATTTTCTCTACATTTTACGCGTATCGTATAAATTTTTCTTCATTTGACAGACACAGATTTTTAATGGGGGTAGACATTTTTTTCGTCTTGGTGGTGTTCATTCAATAACAAATGTCAAAAATATTTTGGAGATGTGTTTAGTTAGCATTACAAGTTCTAATGTTTACCCTACACTATACATATATGGAGTTGTTGAAATACACGTGCTTGTTTATTATTCTAAATCAATTTTATAACAGACAAATATATTTAAATGTTAATTTAACATTTTTGGTTGTTATATTTACTTAAAATCCAATATTATTTATCTGATTAAAGAAAAAATTTGCTTTTAAAAATTATTTCTGTATATATTTTTAAAATCTTGGCAACTCTAATTTCTTATTTATCAAAGACACGTGAAATTGACAATTCAATTATAACGGTAAATAGTAAAATGGAAGGGTATTAATATAGAAATGTGAATAAATTTGAAAATTAGTATTGTAAATATTAACAGCTTTTCTGTAAAATGTTTACGAAAGTGTTTGTGAAAGTGACAAAAATTGTTTTTCTATAAAATTGTGAACGCCACTGAACATTGTGAACGTAATGGAATTTTGGTTGCGCTTAAGGTAAGTGTTTCAAAAGCAATTAAACATTTTATAGTGGAGCTTTTTAATACCATTTATCTTTCTGAAAATGATATATGTATAGGTATATGTTTGTCATTCCGATTGTAATTTTTATAGTATAGTTTTTGTGACCTTTATGCACAATTTTCAGAAGACCCCAGTTATCAGCGAGATCCGAATCTTCAATAATTCTGATATGCTTTCTAGCATGATCGGTCCTTAATTAACAGATATATGTGCAAAATTCCAAAACATCTTATGAAAATATTACGTTCTTCCTCTTTCTTCATTAGCTTTTTTTCTGAAACTATAGCATTTAGGTAGGTATTTCAACAAATTTTATCACGTCTTTTCTTTCATTCAGGGATAAACGTGGATTATTAGAATCGGTTCAAAATTTTCTATATTTCTCATATAAATTTACAGATTACCGGAAAATGTGTTTATTGTTAATAAGTTCGTCTCAAATAGCGGTATTACCAAAAATATTTATTTTGTTAATTACTCTGTACTCTCTGTATTACTACAAAATTTTGCATGTATAAACATGAATCGATCCATAATATATCACAACTCCCATATAAGGTCCATACAACAAATACATCAGCATCATTGTATTCATATACAAATTATTTTTCCGGATCATCCCATAATAGATCAGTTTCCATATAAACTTTGTTCCGGAAATCACTTAATCGTAAATAACACGAATAAGGAATGATATCGGAATAAGATTCTGTAAAATTTTGTCTGGATCGGCTTATAATTGGTCATTGAGCTCTTTCCTGAATGACACTTAATATAGAATAACTTATTACATACTTAATTATGTTATTCATGAACGGCTCATAATTAATCATTAAATCAATACAAAATTCACTTCCGAAAATCATTTATTCGTAAGTAATTCTCGACAGACATAATTTTGCTAATGATCTTTCCATAATTTGTGGTGAATTTCGTCACATATCTACAGAAATAATTTTGCTAATGATTTTTCCATAATTTGCTAAAACTTCCATATAAGATTGGCCTACTACCTACATATATGCTCCTAGAAAAAAAACAACACTTTTTTGTTTCTATTTTAATTCCATCATATTTATTTTATACGTTGATTAGCTTTAAAAATATGTATCTTAAAAATTGTTCCATCAACTTTGAATTCATTTTGTTGTTCTGGTTTCATTTGTAATGAAGACTCGTTTTTTTTTTGCAGTAACTAAAATCTTGTCGCATGAGTCAAACACAACAAACATTTTATTCAAAAATGTTCAATTGAGAAAAAAGCCATTATATTTTTTGTTTTTTTTTTGTACAAAAAGAAAAAAATACATTTAATTTATAAAATATAATAATAAATGTGAAATTTAAATAGTAGTACATAGTTACAGAGTTAATTATAAAAATTTTTAATCCATTTTGTAAAACATCTGTCCGTCTTTTGTCTTTAGTTTAACAAACTGTGTTGGCAGCAGACAGTTTTACAAAAACCGATTCTTTCATTATTTCAATTTTTTCTCCTCGCACTCCTAACTTTAGTGCTTTACAGATGGAAAAAAATGTCTCGACGCGTGTGTTTTAAATGTGAGTTTTCTTCGGGGTTTTGTTTTTAGGTTTTAATAACTAATGGAGTTTAAAGTATAAAGTACTATCCAATATAAGACAACGGCACTTATTCTGTGGCCGCCATAGCTCTGGCTTGAGCACGTACACGTTTCTCGTATTCCAGACGATTCTGACAGTAGATTGTATAAGCCTCTGCTTGGGCAGGATCCTTAATGTTGGGCTCGTTCAAGAGATCTTGTATGCCCAAGAGAATTTGTTTAATGGTAATGGCGGGACGCCAATCTTTCTCTTCATCCAACAAGGACAAACAAACGGTGCCCGAGGGGTACACATTTGGATGGAATAGTGGAGGTTCAAATTTACACTTTGGAGGCGATGTTGGGTAGTCGTCTTTGAAAATCATACGCAATTTGTACAAACCACCTTCCCAGGGTGTGCTCTTTTTGCCGGGAATGGCGCATTCCCAAATCATAAGATTTAAAGTACCGTCAGGATTTTTTGCAGGACGTGCCACGAATCCGAAGGGATGATCTTTACGCCATGCTTTACGTTCCTCGCCCAAACGGGTTATAGCTATGCCAGACATATTCCTCTACTTTTAACTCTTCCACAAATTGTTCTTCACTTTCTCGAAACTTTTCTTTTTCAAGGCTGATTAATGATGCTTTAAATGTTTTTGTTGTAAAATTTTCGTTTTTTAGCTGGGGCACGCGTCTTTGGATTCTTCGTAAATTTAACTAAAAAATATTCACAAGAATTCGTTTAAATTCTTTTCACTTAAAAGCGTCCGCAAATATAGTTACCGTTTATTTGTGTTGTTTATTGTTTATAATTGATAAAGTTATTATATTTTAAAATTAAATTTCTGATTCTTTTCTTTTTTGCAAATTTGCACGCAAGAAAAAATGCGTTCTTCTTCGTTAATGTTCGGCTAATGGCTTGTAAATGTGTTTGTGCTGTAGGGTTGCATATCTAGGGAGTACTCGAAAGTATCATATTTGCCAAGTAGTCATTGGCATGAAGTGATTACTTTCTATCTTCAGAGTTGATTTTTTTCATTCCGTAATAGTTTTTAAATAATGTTTAAGAATAAGTTTGCAATTAAAAGATATTTAAAATGATTTAAGGAAATTTATTTAAACCTAAGACCAAGATTAAATATGGCTTTGTTATAAGTAACCATCAATGTAAATTTTTAAGTAGTTGGGTATTTGATATTTTAGCTGTGTTATACAACCCTACCATTGTGTCAGCCATGTTTGCTTGACAACTTTTTGGAAAAAACAAAACCTTGGTTGATAAATTTTGGCGCTCGCGTCACAGAGTTGTAATCTTACAATAAAATTTTATTTTTTATTTAAAGTTGGCAACGCCCAATATTTTTTAACATTATTAACGGGTTTTCCAATTTTAAATTTTTAGTTATAATTTAATTAATTATATAAAACTTTTACTTTTACGTGAAAAATCGGTGTTAGTACGAGCAATGTTTGTGTAGTGTGTCTGGGAATGAAAAAAGTGTGTTTGCCAAGTCGCTTGTGTAGTCTATTTGGCCCTTTACTTACCTACTGAAATTGAAATGAACTAGAACTGAACTAGAACTGAACTAGAACGGAACTAGAACTGAACTAGAACTGAAGTAGAACTGAACTAGAACTAGAACTGAACTAGAACTGAACTAGAACTGAACTAGAACTGAACTAGAACTGAACTAGAACTGAACTAGAACTGAACTAGAACTGAACTAGAACTGAACTAGAACTGAACTAGAACTGAACTAGAACTGAACTAGAACTGAATTAGAACTAAACTAGAACTGAACTAGAACTGAACTAGCACTGAATTAAAACTAAACTAGAACTGAACTACAAAATTATTTATTAATATTTTTAAAAAACTTGGCAACTCTAAATTAAATGCAACACTTCCTGTTGTTGTCAATTGTCAGAGACACGCGTAATAATTGACATTTCAATTATAACGGTAAATAGTAAAATGGAAGAGTATGTATTAAAATAGAAATGTGAACAAATTTAAATGTTTTATTGTAATTAGTGAAAAATAATAGTTTTTTTCTCTCAAATGTTTATGAAAGTGAAAAAATAGTTTTTCTATAAAATTTTTCTTAAATTCAACGCAAATAAATTACATACCTATGTGCTTAAGGTAAGTGTTTCAAAAGCAATTAAACATTTTATAGTGAAGCTTTTTTAGAACCTCCATCTTTGTATGTACATTTGTATGTATGTTTGTCTTTCCGTTTGAAATTTCTGTAATATAATTTTTGCAGAGGACTTTGCGAGATCCGAATCTTCAATATCTCTATCTAATATGCTTTCGAGCATGATCGGTTCCTAAATAAAAGAGATATGAGAAAAATTCTGAAACAGCCCATGAAAATATTACGTTCTTCTCATTCTTCACTATAACAGCCAGGCATTTCAACAAATTTTGTCACGTCTTTTCTTTCGTCTAGGGATAAACATAGTTGATAATTTTAGAATCGGTTCAAAATTTCATGAATTTTTCACACATATTTCCAGACTGCCGGAAAATGTATTTATTGTTAATAAATTCTTCTTGAATATAGGTATTACCACAAAGAAATGAACTAGAACTGAATTAGAACTAAACAAGAACTGAGCTAGAACTAAACTAGAACAGGACTAGAACTGAACCAGAACCAGGACTGAACTAGAACAGAATTTGAGCTGAACTAGAACTGTAATAGAATTTTACAACAACTGAACTATAAGTATACAAGAACTGAATTAAAACTGATCTAGAACTGATCTAGAGCTGAACTAGAACTTGAACTGAAAATAGAACTGAGCTAGATCTAAACAACTGTCCTAGAACTGAACTAGAACTATGCTAGATCTAAACAAGAACTGAACTAGAACTGAAACTGAACTGGAACTGAACTAGAACTGAACTAGAACTGAACTAGAACTGAACTAGAACTGAACTAGAACTGAACTAGAACTGAACTAGAACTGAACTAGAACTGAACTAGAACTGAACTAGAACTGAACTAGAACTGAACTAGAACTGAACTAGAACTGAACTTGAACTATGCTAGATCTGAACTAGAACTGAACTAAAACTGAACTAGAACTGAACTTGAACTGAACTATGCTAGATCTAAACAAGAACTGAACTAGAACTGAACTATGCTAGATCTAAACAAGAACTGAACTAAAACTGAACTAAAACTGAACTAGAACTGAGCTAGAACTGAACTAGAACTGAACTAGAACTGAACTAAACTAAAACTGAACTAAATCTGATCTAGAACTGAACTAGAACCGAACTAGAACTGAACTAGAACTGAACTAGAACTGAACTAGAACTGAACTAGAACTGAACTAGAACTGAACTAGAACTGAACTAGAACTGAACTAGAACTGAACTAGAACTGAACTAGAATTGAACTAGAACTGAACTAGAACTGAACTAGAACTGAACTAGAACTGAACTAGAACTGAATTAGAACTGAACTAGAACTGAACTAGAACTGAACTAGAACTGAACTAGAACTGAACTAGAACTGAACTAGAACTGAACTAGAACTGAACTAGAACTGAACTAGAACTGAACTAGAACTGAACTAGAACTGAACTAGAACTGGACAAGAACTGTACTTGAACTGATCTAGAATTGAACTAGAACTGAACTAGAAGTTAACTAAAACTTAATTAGAACCGAACTGAATTTAAACAGTAATAGAACTGAACTAGAAGTATAGCTGAACTAAAACTGAAATACAATTGCACTAGAACTGAACTAGAACTAAACAAGAACTGAACTGCAATAGAATTAAATCAGAACTGAGCTAGAACTGAACTACAAGTTAAATAAGACTGAATTAGAACTGAAATAGAATTGAAATACAACTGAACTAGACTTGAACTAGAGCTGAACTAGAACTGAACTAGACTTGAACTAGAAATGAACTAGAAATGAACTAGAACTGAACTTGATCTGAACTAGAATTGAACTGGAACTGAACTAGAACTGAACTAGAACTGAATTAGAACTGAACTAGAACTGAACTAGAACTGAACTAGAACTGAACTAGAACTGAACTAGAACTGAACTAGAACTGAACTAGAACTGAACTAGAACTGAACTAGAACTGAACTAGAACTGAACTAGAACTGAACTAGAACTGAACTAGAACTGAACTAGAACTGAACTAGAACTGAACTAGAACTGAACTAGAACTGAACTAGAACTGAACTAGAACTGAACTAGAACTGAACTAGAACTGATCTAGAACTGAACTAGAACTGAATTATAACTTAACTAGAACTAAACTAAAAGTTAACTAAAACCCAATTAGAACCGTCCTAGCACTGAACTTGAGCAGAACAGAACTAGAACTGAACTGTAACCGAACTAAAACTAAACTAGAGCTGAACTAAAACTAAACTTGAACTATATATAACTGATTGTTTTTTTCGATTTGTACTGGGAATATTTTTGAATGCAAAACATGTTGAAACACACACATTTGTAATTATTAATGATAATTTTTATTATTTGAGTTTTTCATATAATTTGATTTATATACGATTTCTAAACTAATAATAGATTTCTTTTTCATTATTATTATTAATATAATTTAAATATAACTGTTTTAATATTTTTTATTTTATTTTTGGAATAAATTATTATTGTCACATACTTAGAGTAATACATACATATTTATTTTGTATTGCTTTAAATGAAAAAAAAAACTTGCATAAAAAATAAGAAATATATAAAATTTTATAATAATAAAAAAATTATTCATCAAAATAGTTTAAAATTAAAGTTTAAAAAATATACAAGAAAAAACTAGTTTATAAAAAATACCATAAAAAACAATGAACACAATGTAAAATAATATAAATGTTAATTCTTTATAAAAGTAGTCAACAGGAAATAACAAGAAAATTTTTAATTATAAAAAAAGAATAAAATAAAAGAAAAACAATTAGTTAAAACAAAAAAAAAATGCTTAATATAGTAAAAAAAAATTAAATTAATATTCATATACTACATATAAATGTTTTAGTTATTATACTAAATAAAGGTGGTGTTCTGTTGTTATTTAGAAATATTTTTATTAATTTATTTTTAAATTTATTAACAAATATTTAAATGTTATAAGTTTAAAAGTTTCGTGTCGAAACTTTATCTTTTTTTTTATTATATTTTAAAAGGCTAAAAAGTTTAGGAGTTTTCGGTTCTTTTTTTTATATAATAAGTTTTATATTTTAATTTTTTTAGATCATAAATTGTAATTTTATTGTTTTTTTTTTTTTACTTAAATATTTAAAACTTTGGCATGCATTTTATGTCATGTGTTTATATAGTATTTGCATAAATTTTTTTTATTAATTTTTATTTAATTCTGAAACAAATGCACAAGTAGATTGAAATAATTTATTTACAGAGATTCTCTTTAAATACTGTTTGTTACCATTTTTTTTGTTTTTATTTTATAATCTTTGAAGTTAATTTTGTTTAATTAGTAATTTATGCATTTGTTTGTTTTTAAGTTTTTTATTTTATTTTTTTTATCGGCTGATATGCTTTTTAATTTAATTTATCTTTCAATTTACGCTTAAAAACATTTATAATACCATTCCCAAGATTTCGTAGCAGCCTGCAACTGATTCTATCAAATAGCAGCTTCCTGTAGATTTTCTTTATTTTTCTGCATCATTAAAGTATTGGGTGATGGTACATTTGCTATTATATTACCAGCATTAGGACTTGGACTATCATTAGTATCTGGTCTACGTAATTTATTTTTACAATAGAATTGCTTATGAGCCAAATAGGTTTTCATATAATTAAATGAAATGTCACAAGTCTGACAATATTTCTGATTAATATTCTCTTCTGGTGTGGCATTTAGTAAAGGTGGTGGTCCTATGGCTGGTGAGCGTAGAGTAGGCGGTGGTTGTGGTATATGTAATGCTGAAGGTTCAATTGATATTTCCATAGGTTCGGATTTTATATGATGCATTAATTCGTTGGGGTTATTGTGTATGATATTTGTCGGTATGGGTGAATTGTTATTGTCATGGGGATTTAGTAGTACCGCCGCAGGGCTTGTATTGCTGGCTGTATGATGATCCAGGGGTTCAGACTTGATGGTAAAACTGGTCAAATAATAACTATACGTTAAATAGGGTTTGATATTAAGTGCTGAAAGGTAAAACTTACTTATTCATGTTATTGTCGCCATTATGACTGCTGCTTAAAGAGGCTGTCTCGGTTGTTTCTAAGTCCCCTACTTCTGGGGAAATCGAGGGTGAATTGGGTATAACATGTGGATGTACTAATTTCATATGGCGCAACTGAAATTATATAAAAAATAAATTTATTTTATATTATTTAAAATTCCTTTAAAGTTTTTTAAAGGGAGTGTTATCAGTTTTCAAAAAAAAAACCTTTATAACTATCATTTAATCTTTAATTTTTTTACAACAATGTAGTTTTGATATTTATATAAACCACTTTTCATGATCTCTGGCCAAATAAAAAGGTCATTGCTACAATAAAACAAAAACAAAAAATGATCGTTTAGCCTTGATAACTTACCACATTGCCTTTATAAGTTGAAGAATAATTACAAATATCACAATTGAACACCTGCTGCTGCTGCTGTGATTGTTGTTGTTGTTGCTGCTGATGTTGATGTTGTTGCTGAAGGCCAGCAGCTACAACAGCTGCTGCAGCCACTAACTGTTTTTGTTGTTGCTGTTGTTGTTGAGCAGCAGCCAATTGTTGTACCAAATGTTCTTGATTTAACGAGGCAGCACTAGGTATTTCAATATTTTCATCCTCTAATATACAGGCCATATAATGTTCCTCATTGATATCGGAAGTTTTCTTATCGAAATGCATGCGTATATGAGTGCGCATACCCCTATTTAAAGGAAGAGTAGAAATTTTAAAGAAAATTAATAAAAAGTACTTTTTTTGGGGGAGTTTTATAACAAAATACCTTAAAGTATTGCCTTTGTAACGGCAAATGGTGCATCTAAAAGCCTTAACCGTGCCATGAGTTTCCATATGTTTACGACTTTCACTGGCGGTTAAGCTGACCGCATCACATAAAGGACATTTGTAAAGATTTTGATTACTACTGGAACCAGTGGAAGTTGTGGAAGCAGTATGCTGCTGCTGCTGTTGTTGTGTAGTGGCTGTGGCTAATGTTTGTGTTGGTGTAGGTTGCTGCAAGGCCGGTGGAGGAGGACAAGGTAGTGAGGTTTCATGTAAAGTTTTACATTTAGAACATTTTTCTTTTTTCATAACTACATGAGAAGTATCCGAGGAGTTAGAGGCTACTGCAGCAGCTGCTGCCGCCGCTACACCACCACCTTTGGGACAATAGTAGTTTTGATGAGCTCTTAAGTTGTCCAAAGAGGTATACTTAATGCCACATGCTGCACATATTAATTGTTGATAGGCTACTGGTGTTGTTTCAGCTGGTGAGGCTCCTGCAGCCATAGGAGGAGTGGGTGAAACTTTAGCTTCTCCTTCAGAGGGTTCTTGATTCCGGGCGGAACAGTAATGTTGTTTATGAGCCAAATAGTTTTCATATTTACAGAAAACAATATTACATTCTTTGCATTTGGAAACACCTTGTTTAACATAGATTTGGGGTTGATTAGCGCTGGCCGTGGGCACTTGTACAGAAGCAGCAGGGGCTGGTGGTAAAACGGGCAAACCCAAAAGAGAACCTCTACCAGTAGCTGCTGCTACAGCCGCTGCTAAGTCCGAGGGAGTTGAACCAGCTGTGTTAACACCTCCGCTAGAAGAGCTAACAGCAGCTGCTGCGGCTGCAGACAATTTTAAAGCCAATTCCATATTCTGTTTAGCCAGCAAAGGATTTAGAAGTTCTGCCGGCAACATAGAACGTAATTGTAAATTATCTAAAATATTTGTGGGATTTGTGGCTGCACTTAAAGCATTGGGTGGTATGGTGGCCGGAGGAGACATTGATGAAGTACTGCCGGCTCCAGAGCTTCTAGGACTTATTGCACGTCTTCTGGGCGAGGGACTCATAGAAGGACTATTGGGCAATGAGGGTGCACAGACAATTTGTTCGGGTGTTATACTGCCCGTTTCATCTAAAGCCAAATTTTCTTTGCCTGCCTCTAGTAAAGTCTCCATATCTAAACGTTGTTGTTCATTCTCTAAGAATGTAGTGGCAGAATTGAAACGTTGCCTTTGCAACAGAGCAGCAATGGGAGAACGTCTAAGTGATAAATCCAAAGGAGCAGACTCTCTAAAACCTTCTCCTTTTCTCTTATGCGTAGGATTTTCCGTAGATTCCTCTACATTACGTTTTATATTCTTTTCGGTGAGCAAAGTTTCCGTGGCATTACTTTGACGTGTAGAATCGACTACATTGATTTGTTGTCCCGTAGCAACAGCAGCAGCTATACTATTGGCCGCCGTTGAGGCAGCACTAAGAGCATTTATATTTAAAGCTGTAGCCAAAGGTTTTAAATTGCCATTATCCAAAGTGAAACAAGTGGTATCCGGATTAACCACTGAGGGCGAAGGTGAGGATCTGTGTTTGAAATACAAGATTGTATAAATGTTTTTAAGCTTTTTGAGTTTTGTTTTGAAAATACTTACAAAGGTCCTGCTATTAGACTAGCGGAACGTATCAATGCATAAGGTATTATTAATATGGGATTTGTGGGTAACGCCAAGAAAGGTGTTGCTGGTGGCTGTTGTAAAGCAGCTGCTGCTGCGGCGGCTGCCGCTGCTACCATAGCAGGAGTGGGTGTTTTTGTGCGGGTTTGAGGACTTATGGCACCGCTGACTACAGCTGCAGGAGCTTTTGGTGTCGACGTGGTGGTAGAAACTTCCAGTTTAGGTGTTAATTGTCTGTAAAGAAAGGAAAGAGGTTTAGAAGGAAACAAAGTTAAGAAAAATTTTATTGTATAACAAGTTCTAGACAGTTTTCCTGAACAGTTTTTCTGAATTAAATTTCTATAAATATTTGACTTACCCTTCTGTTCTCCTGGAACTACAGTAATGCTGTTTATGAGCTCTATAGGTTTTGACATTATTAAAACGTATGTCACAATCACTGCAATAACGATCCACTTGCTAAAAGGATTAAAAAATATTCATATCATTAAAATATCCTTAAATAAACTTATTATTCAACAGTGAAAATGTTTTTAATTTCAACCAACAACTAACTCACTTGACTAGAATTATCTTCCATTATGGCACTGCCGTTATTGGAAGCATTAGAGCTGGGTGCTGGTGAGGTCTGATGCATGCGCATATGACGATTGAGAGAGACTTTCTTATCGGCACTATAGGAACACTGTGTACAGGCATATTGTTTGCCGGTCTTGGGAACTTTGGCGGCTGGTTCTGTGGGAGCCAAAGAAATATTGGCCGTAGGGTTATTTGCTTGTGTTGGAGATGCAGAGGACTTTTCAGCTATGGCAGCCGATAAGGAACTATCATCTTCTGATTCCTTGTGACGATGCGAGCAATAGTAAGCTTGATGGGCCTCCAAGGTGGAGGGAGAACTGAAACCTATACCGCAGGGTAAGCACATGAATACCTTCATGCGTTGTGGTGCTTCCACAGGGGTGGTCAAGGGCTTTATAGCCGTTTCCACTAAAGCAGTTGTAGCAGTTGGAGTTATGTGATCGTTTTCATTACTTTCTGTTTCTTCTGTTTGTAATTGCTGTTGCAAATGCTGTTCCAAACGTGCTATTCTTTGTTGAGTCTGTGATTCTTCATGTACAACCTTTAAATCTTTGGCATCTGGCATTAAAGCAGGATCTGAAGCCAATAAAGCATTAAGCCTTAGCTTAGGCATAGAACCTGAAGTGGGAGAGCATATATTTTCATTTGAGACTTCTATAGGGGAGGGACTAATAGCGGGCGTTATGGCCTTTAATAAAGGACTTGAAGATCTACGATCTTTTGAATTAGATTCATCTATTTGATTTTGAAAATCATCACATTTCTCGGAATCATTTGAATTCTCAGTGTTTCTGTTAACAGGCGATTGCACGGGGGTAGTAACTCGTCTATACTCCAACTCCACTTCCATTTTAGGTCTCTTCTGTTGTGGTGGTTGTGAGTCGGCATCTTCTTCGTTATGCTCCATTTCTATTTGCTCGGGATTTTGACTTTCTGTCATTTCTATATCAGTCTCTTTCGTTTGCTGCTGGCTGTAATGATTGTTTTGAGGAGTTCGTCTATCTTCATCGGTATGATCATCCATTATGCTTGTAGTATTATTAGGATTAAAATCTTTGGAATCTAAAAATTAATTAAAATAGAAAGAAACAGGAAATTTAATACATGTTTTATTTAAAGATCAAATATAAAAGATAATTTTAAAACAAAAAAATTAAAGATAATAATCTTTACCAAAAAAAAAAAAAAAATAATTTTAAATACGAAAAAAACCTACATTATTCCAAATGTTTAAAAAAGCAACCTCTGGAATCTTTACTTGTAGCAGAGAAAGAAACCTACTCAAATTGTAGTAAAAACAACAAATCTCTACAGCTTATCATCTTCAAATCTTTATATTCTTAACAAAATTCTTACGAAAAACTTAAACCCATATCAAAGTTTAAGTAAAGCGAAAAAAAACTTAAATAATCTTTACCAAAAAAAAACATTTTCATAAGAAATTCTCACTGTAGTTACATAAAATACATTTTTACCATACGATCGCCATCGCCATCATCATCATCATCATCAATGTTGTCGTCATCTTGGGGAATATGTGTCAAATTGACCAAAAGGTTAACAATTATTATCGAACAAATTGTCAAGACATCCACCACAAACGCATAAAGTGTTTTATAAATATTCTTTGTTTGGGATCTGTTATTTTTGTTTCACTTTTCTTTGGCCAAAATGTAGAAATATTAAACAGAGTATTAAAGGTATTATTGGAATAAGTTTATTCAAATCTAATAGTCTGCGTTAGTGGTCTTTAATTTGGCTTTAACTACACTTCGGACTTGATTAAACAAACTTTTATATGAAATTTTTGAATCGAGCTCAAATCAAGTTCACTTTGGGATTAAAACGATTTGATTTAAGAAAGTAAATCTGAAATCAAATCGAAAATTACGTTTCATATTTAGGGGTTACGTACTTGATTCAAGTATTTTGTACTTGATTTAAGAACAACTGTACTTACCGTACTACTTAAAACTCTCCTAATTGATATGAGTACGAATAATTATATTCTCTTTTGGAGAGTAGTTCTCTAGTTTATCGACAGAGTTGGACAGAATTTTAACATTTAGTTCTAATTATTATCCAAATTTAACTCTTTTTAAATTCTGCTTTTCTGATTTTCACAGTTTATTTTAGTTTTCGATACTTTATTATTGGAATTGGACTTGTAATAAGTACGTATTTTTTTTTGTAGTTCTTTTCTGCGTTCAATTCAAAATAAACCACCGAGAAAAGTAGCAGGCAGACAAACAGACATTCAGCCATTTAGACAGACAATAAACTTTAAGCGTCCGCTTGTCTGGCTTAACACAATGCATATTGCCTCTGTCCACTTTAACTATACTACAACAAACATTTGTACCATGTCTCACAACAAAACAATCTTGGAAAACGAAACGTGTTGAGACGCTTGTGTCTTATCCATGTGTAAAATCAACTTTTTGTGGAATAAATACAATAAAATGCACGTACCGTGCATACATTCTAAGATTTTGCAGTTTTTTTTTTTTTCGTTTTTTAGTTTTAATATAGAAAAATTCCAAGAGACACTTACTGGATTGGATGGATGATATTCACATATCGGGTAATAGAAAAAGAACATTACTTTGTAATATTTAACAAATGCATTTAGTTATGTGAAATAAGTCTATAGATAGTTGGGGTTTTTTTGTTGAAATAACTAATAGATTTATAATAGGTTATGGCATGAGTAAATGCAAAGATATTGGGGTCAAAGGTATTTCATATTCCTCCAAGTCTCAATAGGATTTAAAAGAAAATTACGATCGAAAAGAAATGCCGAAATTTGCTAGCTAAAGGCGAATTGTTACAATCGAGATTGAGTAAGAATTATCGTTATCTTCTTGTAAGGAACTATACTTTACGATATCGAAATTTCATAAGAAATTGAGGGTCCAAAATACGGTGTTTGATATTGATCGGAAGCGCATTCCGTTATTTCATATCTGATGCCGTGATCGTGTAAAAATTTTATCGTGTAAAACTTTTATATGAAATTTTTGAATTTTAAAATCAAGTACGAAAATTAGGAACTATGCTTTACGATATCGAAATTTTTTAAGAAAATGAGGGTCCAATTTACAGTGATTGATATTGATAAAAAGCACATTCCACGATTTCATATCTGATGCCGTTTTATCATTTAAGATCAAGTACCAATTAGGGTTCAAATTACGGATTTTAATGATGATCCTAGGTTTTACGATATCGAAGATAAGAAAGCTTTGATCTAAATATTCTCTCAACCTTCCGAATGTCAATAGAACTCTCCTAAAATGTCTTTAAAAAAATGCTAAGTGATAAGGAAATAAAATTATTCGTCTAATAGTTTTGTTTTTGTTTTATAAATTTCTCAATATATTTTTTCAAATCATTTCAATTTTCGAAACAAATCTATTTTTTTCAAATTGACTGGAAAATATTTGAAAATAATAACAGCAGCAAACAAATCTACCATTTCTTTCAACTGCAACAGAAAACTAACGAAGATGTATTAAAGATAGATAAATAAGAAAAAGCATCACATAAAAATTACAAACATTCAGACGGACTCAAAAACATATCCATGGCCAAAATACTCATACTCATCTCAACATACTATATATACCCTCAAATACAAACATAGTATGAATATGTAGATTGATTTGACAGCTTAGATAGGAATTTTAAGAAACCAACAGCAACAACCATAACTAAATCAAACCGTGCTCTCCAAGAGACAATTTTTTTTTACTATAAACTCAGATGTACATACATACCAGGGATGGCAAAAGGAATTTTCAAATTGTACAAAATTTTACATAGACATGGATTAGTCTATAGACTAGACAATAGGCTATAGACTGATTAGTCTATAGACTAGACTAGACAATAGACTATACATTGACTAGTCTAAAGACTAGACAATAGACTGGGCTAGAGCAGACTAGACTAGACATTGATTAGTTTATAGACTAGACAATAGAGTAGACTAGTGTAGATTAGACTAGAGTAGAGTATACTAGACTAGAGCAGACTAGACTAGACAAGTCACTAGTCTATGAAGTAGACAAGAGGCTGGTCTATGGACTTGTCTATTGTCTAGACAAGTCTATTGAATAGTGAATATACAAGTCTAAAGGATTACACAATATACTACTTATTCTATAGACTGGACAATAGACTAGACAAGCCACTAGTCTATAGGCTAGACAATAGACTAGTCTGTAGATTAGGCAAAAGACTAGTCTAGAGACTTGACAATAGAGTAGTATGTAGACTAATGGACTAAACTGTGGACAATATATTAGTCTATAGACTATTTATTAGTCTATAGATTAGACTATATCGACTAGACAATAGACTAGACATTGGTTAGTCTATAGACTAGACTAGAGTAGAGTAGAGTATACAAGTCACTATTCTATGGACAGACAAGAGCATAGTCTATGTACTTGATAAGAGAATAGTCTAAATGATTAGACAATAGACTAGTTTATAGACTAGACAATGGACTAGTCAATATACTAGTCTATAATGTAGACAATATCCTAGTCTATAGACTAGACAATAGACTAGTCTATAGGCTAGACAATAGACTAGGCTATAGGGTATGTACTAGACAAGAGAATAGTCTATGTACTAGACAAGAGAATAGTCTAAAGTATTAGACAATAGACTAGACAATAGACTAGTCTTTAGACTAGACAAGGACTAGTCTATAATGTAGACAATATCCTAGTATATAGACTAGAGAATAGTCTAGACAATAGACTAGGCTACAGACAAGACAATAGACTAGGCTATAGACTAGACTGTATACTAGTCTATAAACAATTGGCCAGTACATAGACTAGACAATAGACGAGTACATAGACTAGATAAAAGACAATAGACTAGTCTACACAGAGGGAAAAGGAAATATACACGCCTGGTGCAAAATTGACACCAAAGAGTTTATAATTTTTCAATAAAATCCGTTGTCAAAGTATATATATACGTACGACAACACTATCTAATGTTAACAATGCAACGTTGTCAACATTGCAACAATTCGTTGTCGAAATCTTAATTTTATACACATCCGTTGTCTAAATGTTAACAAAGGTGGTAAGCTCACTATTGGCCACGGATTATACGTATGTATATGCTTTGACAACGGATGGTATTGATAAACTATAAACAGTTTGGTGTAAATTTGGTACCAGGCGTGTATATTTATTTTTCCCTCTGTGTATAGACCAGATTAGATTAGACAACATACTTTGAACTAAGTGTCAGAAGTACCCTTTTAGATTATTATTCCAATTAGGAAATATTGGCACTTTTAAAGATCAAATTATATCAAAAAAGTACAAATATACCAATTTAAACAACCCTGATACATACCAATATATTTTCCTCAAAAGATCAAAAATCCAAAACATACAGGAATCAAGAAGACCAAAAAAAAAACTAACGAAAAAAAGAGAGTAGTAAATAAAAAGTAGTGGTAGTACGAGTAGTAAAAAAAGGCCTGATACTGGCCAACAACATTACCAGCATGTTAATATTCTAAGAAATTTTAGATTTTTTAATTCGTTTCTTTTTTTTTTTTTGCTACATTGAAATCTTTAATAAAAAATCTGTTAAAAGATGTAGCATGATGTTCGTTGAATCGTTTCTTACTTTTCTTTTTTGGTTAAATAAAAGAAAAGCTTGTTATAAGCGTTGACCTGTCAATTTGTATGTATTGAAATGTCATCTGTTTCAATTTAACATTTTAACAGTTTATTGCTTACATGGTTTTGATGGACACAACACAGTTGCGGTGTGTGACCGCTGTTTAAGAGAGTTTGTTATTTCCTTGGCGTATATTCAGACTGAGTGTGTGTATGGGTTTTTTTTTTGTGGCCAGGCCATTGGTTATTAAGGTTGTGTTACCATTTATGGCAAAGTGGTTATAAAAAAACAAAACTTCAAACCGCCTTGTAAGACCTTATAGGATGACATTTACATCACACATACATAGCTCTGGAAGAGGTATGTGTAATGTTACCAACTATAGTTAGGTATTTTTCTTG